TGCACCTTCGCCTGGAAGCTAAATCACAACTTGTCCTTGAGTGAGGCTCAGCGCCGTCACTCGCCTGACACCGGGGATCTCCCTGTTACTCCCTCATTAATGGGCGGAGATTTGCCATGGCTGCTTTCCAAATGACCATCCGACGAGATGGGTCATACCTACCTCCACTCCACCGGAGGCAGATGCATCGTGGGAGCACGGTTGTCTGCCGATGACGCGACCGGCGTCAGACCAGTCACAGACCGGTCATTCTTGTCCACCACGTGTCAGTTTAGCATGCTACACGTCTGCCCTTCTTCATACAATGACTTCCTTGCAATGGTTGCGATGAAGCCTGGAATGTATCTGGCCGGGGCTGACGTGCCAACTCCAGGAGTTCCCACGCCGGCTCCGGCTAGGGACGAGTGCCTGGAGGCTCTCATCATTCCGACGGGACGGGGCGAGGCGTGTGTCAGGCCGCCTGTTGCCACCTAACCCGCGATCTGACCGGTCTGTGACCGGTCACACACTGTGACCTGTCACGGACCGAACGAGTGTGCTGCGCTGCATTAAATGCGGCGTGGGGCGCTCGTCCAACCCGCAATAAACGCGGTTAGGTGAGCGTCGCTGTGCTCACCTAACCCACTCACGTGGCGCCAAACCCACAGGGGGTCGGGGCGCCCCAGCCCTCGGGGCCGAAACGGGAGCGGCCCGACCCCTCGGGGAGACAGAGGGAGGGGCGGCCACATCACCCTCGGGCCCGACCCCCCCCCCCCCGAGGGGGTCAGGCCACGTGGGTGACTGCAGCTGCCCCAAACCTCTAGTCAAGATACCCCCGGTCCCATGTCACCGACAACGATCCTCCAGCGATTATGTCCAGATAGAATGCAGACTCCTTATCCAAACCCGTATGGAAATGTTGAAGAAGCACATACCCGGGTAAGGACAGGGTTGGTCCAGACTGCACTAAATTAGTGAATCTGGACCAGGCTGCACCAATTGATTCATTTTCGATCTGCTTAAAACTGAGAATTTCTACTCGTAGGGCAGTAATACGAGTAACTGGGAAGAAGGTAAGACAGAATTTGTCTCACAACTTTTCCCAACTACCGTTTACACATCCAACGGTAGAGGTGTACCATTGCTTTGCTCTCTCTTAAAGAGAGAACGGGAACAATTTCCACCGCACAGTTTCTTGTCTCATGCCACGAATCTTAAGGCACGAGCAGACTTGTTCAAAGTCTCGCAGATGATGGTAGGGATTTTCTAGATCAAACCCAGAAAAAGGATTTTTCCCTAACCATACTGATTAGTTCGGGATGAATTTCATAGCCAGTTGTATAAATGGGCTCTGATGAAGGAGGTGGCTCATAGAATTCACCCCGAGGAGCAGACAGCTCAAAAAGCGGTTGCTCCATGGTCGAGAAGAGTTTGACAGGAATACTTCTTTAGGATAGCAGGGGTAGATGTAGAATTAAAAAAACAAAAAGGATACGAGGATGAATAAGGTACGGAAATGATCAGCAACCATTTCCCCGGAAACGGCGCCAGAAATGCTTGTTGGTATTTCTTATGGTCACAGATAAAATTTGCAAGCGCACAGATATACCGATGTAGCACTTCCCCTACGGAGTATTCCAAGGGTATCGAATCCAATGGAACGTGTGTGATCAGATCTTCCTCCGGTTCATCCAAGGACACCAAGCAAATGATAGGCCAGGATAGAGAGGATTTACTAGTGAGAAACAGTGTCTAGGGAAAGCTTAACTTTAATCCTAACGCAATACTTCAGGCACTGGCAACCCGCTGTTCCCAGATGTCGCTCTACTACGTACCCGGACAGGGAGGACTTAAGTGATCTCGAGGGCTGTCACCACCTCTACACCCACCTCAAACGTACTGTGGGATACGCAGTAATTACTGGATAACAATTACTTAAACATCACGTCTAAGCAATTACTGTCTACTTTAGTGTTTATAACTCACCAAAGCAATCACTATATTTAGTTGATTATAGTGAACAATAATTCCGTATGCTATTTAGGAACTAACCAAGAGATAATTCTCACAAAATAAATCTAAATTACTCAAGAAGAATATTATATTGAATTCAGAGTAAAAAATAGAATAAAAGAAATAGGAGAAGATTACCGACAACTCCGGAATTCTTCCGACTCCTACTCTACTCTCTTCCGATTGTAATATACAATATAGTACAATAGAGCCTCTTATAATTTAGCTCAAGCTTGGAAGTGTGTGTGTGAAGTGAGAGAGTGAAGCCTTTATATAGAGGTAGGTATGACGGTTGTGAGAAGCTGAAATGTCCGAACTGCCCCGCAACCGCCATTAGGAGATGATCAAGACCGTCCACGCCAAACCCCAGCCTGGATGGCTGAGATTAGGAGATGATCAAGACCGTCCACGCCAAACCCCAGCCTGGATGGCTGAGATTGTGGTCCGGCCGAACCTGGGCTGGGCCCATCTGGCTTGGCTCTTGGCCCATGTTCTCCCCTGATCCTCCTCTATTCATTCTTCGGTATTTTGGCTGATTCACTGATGTTTTGATGAAGTTCACAACCCATCCTTGCAGGGATACACATTTCTCCTCACTTTAGTCTGATTTTCCTCCCAACATCGGGGTTTATCGTCTGCATACAAATATATACCAACACTTGTGGAATATGTGAGATTAAGCACATATCACTATGTTGGATGTTTTATTATCCGAACTTTATGCAGATGTTGGCGGTACAGAATCGGTATTTAATAACCACCAACAGACACCAATGTGCCTACGGGGCCTATATACCTGAGGGACCGTGGGGAAACGGTGAAGGAGCAGTGAACGGTTGAGAGACACCAATGTGTGAAAGGGGAAATTGTTGATTAGTCCCACATTGGTTGACCGTGGGTGCCTGCGGGGGCCATATACCTGAGGGACCGTGGGATCTCTGGCCCGAGGGACATAGTATGTGAAGGCTTGATGGACCGTGGGTGCCTGCGGAGCCTATATACTTGAGGGACCGTGGGGAAACGGTGAAGGGGCAATGAATGGCTGAGGGACACCAGTGTGTGAAGGGGGAGATTGTTGAATAGTCCCACATTGGTTATGTAAGGACAAGGGACCTAACATATAAGTGGGGTCCCCTCACCTTAATAGCTAGCTTTTAGGGTGGGAAAGACCCTTTACGATCTTACAAGTGAGCCCATCCACAAGGCATGACAACGGCGGAGGGGGCTCCAGTGGTCCACAGCTAAGGAGGAGAAGAGGAGGCATGTGAGGGAGCCAATAAGCAAGATGACGCGCTCATATTCCTCTACGATGCATGTGGTACGCTTCTTGGCAGACTTGGCCTCGCGCTCCAAGCGGAGCCGCTCCTCCTCATGAGAGCGTGCAAGCTCAACCTCGATGTGCGACGACTTGCGGGCAGCCATCTTGCACGACGCGAAGGTAGAAGTGGCTTGGCCTTCGCATGGTAGCGGTTCTCAACCATGCAGGAGGCGACACACGGCGCGAGACTTGGGGCCCTTGGCCTTGCGCTAGTACTCCTCCTCCTTGGCGCACTCCATGCCTCCATGCGGTCCCAACGGTTAGCCGCCGTGATCGCAAGCCACCTTTGCCTTGGAGTTGACACCCATCTTCTTTGGCATCGCGGCTGTTCATGGCGGCAGTGGCTGGTGGCACGGTATGGGGCTTGAGCGAAGTCGGATTGGCATGGTAGATGCTGAAACGATGACGACGAGGTATATATATCCCAACCTACCCATCTCCCTTATCTCTGTCCTCTCCTCCTTTGCAGCCATAGATAGCCACGGTCCCATCCTCTCCCCACGGCGAGCTCGAGCTCGCCAACTCCCTCGCCTCCCTCCTCTCTCCACTGTCACGGGCCACCAGAGCCTCCTCATCATCGACCTCCCACTGCTATTGCCACCTCCTGCAAACGAGCTCACCGGCCACTACCCCTCTCCCCCTCGATGAGCTCTGGTGGAAGAGAGGGGAGAGGTGGAGAGATGGGGGAAGAGAGAGGATAGGTGGTCGGTGAGCTCTTGTGGAAGTGAGGGGAGATGTGGAGAGATGGGGGAAGAGAGAGGATAGGTGGGAAGAGGTAAAAATCCACTTACATGTACTCCCTCCGTACCAAAAAAAGACAAACTCTGGGTTTCCGTGTTCAATGTTTGACCATCCGTCTTATTCGAAAAAATTATGAAAAAAATTAAAAAGACAAATCACGCATAAAGTATTAATCATGTTTTATCATCTAACAACAATGAAAATACTAATTATAAAAAAATTTCATATAAGACAGACAATCAAACGTTGGACACGAAAACCCAGAGTTTGTCTTTTTTTTGGGACGGAGAGAGTAGAACTCACATGTTTTTAAATATTTCTTTTTATTGACTAGGATGCCACGTCAAGACAAAACAACCATTCATAATGTCATGAGACTTGATTGGACGGTTTTGCTAAGATGAGTAAAGATTTCTGGTATCACGATTTAGCGATGTTAATTAAACTCTGACCGAAAGATTTAGGAGACAATAAGTGGACTTATTCCTTTGAGTAATGCAAATTTTATAAGGCTAGTATTGGGCCTTAGGGACCAGAATTCAACTAAGCCCAGAGAAAACAAATAGCATACTGTTTACGTGCTTTATAAAATTTTCATTCTCAAAAAAAAATCTAAGTAGGGCAATGGTACACCGTACACCACACCTCTCAACGGAACCATATATGGCGAGTAACGCAGTGCTGGGTGTGTTTGTCCGAGGCGAAACAAACCCTTAGAAGAGCAGCTTGATTCAGAGTTGATACATAGTAGTAATAGCATAGAGCCATAGACCATTCCAACATGTACATTGTACAAAGCGGAGTCTTTGTCGAACGAAACAATACCCAGGAGATGCTGCACCACAAAAAATCGAAGCAAAAAGGGCAAAAAAAAAAAGAAGGAAAAAAACTGAGAAGTTGATCTTTCGTTGGAGGAGGTTAGCTATGTACAGGTTCAGCATATTCACACTTGACCATTGCAAATATATAGTACTCCTATATAACAAAACTGCCAGTCTGCTCCAAGGCATATTTGAGTTCAGTATCACAAAACGAATCATAAAAGAGGAATAAAATGAATGGAGCAATTATTGTATCCACATAATAGTATCTTTTTTTTTTTCATCATCATCATCATCGGACAACATACCCCACCAAAATCACCATGTCCCCACAGCCCTAAACCCATATACCTCCTCATTGCATGCTATCAAAAGTAATAATACACACAGAAATGCTAATTACTGTCCTACACTATGATTTGTGCTTTCAGTGGTAGCTACCTGTTGCATTATCAAAATCTCTTTTAGGAGAGCCTTCTAACAAAGGTAAACGGTGTCCATGGATGGTTTTACTGGGTTTCTACTCAACAGTGACAACATGGATAGGGGCACAAGGATTGTACAATCAATGCTTCAGCGGTTGGGGTTGCTGTTCAGGTAAAGGAGGGAATACATCAAGAAGGAACCTGTGAATCATCTCAAAGCTGGTAAATGTTATTACTGCGGCAGGAGTTGTCCGCAACAGATTAGTTGCACATCCACGGTAGAAACCGGTCAAACCCTCTATATGATAGACCTTTCTGATGCAGTCCATTACACCTGTATATCTCGCCTTGGAGTGTGCTCCCTGCTCCTGTAACCTTGAGCGAACAACCTGTAACGAATCATTTCAGATATATAGCCACCAGTTGGCCAGAACAAAGTTCAGTACACTTATTACAAGACTGGCATGCATCGTAATTTCAAAGAAAAGACTCTACCTCATGAGGATATGTCAAGGTTGACGCAGCAACTTTTGCCAGGGATGAAGCAACAGCAACATCACCAAAACTTAATGCCTCCACTGTAGTATTATCTGTTAAAGCATGACGCTGTTATATGTGTGGAACAAAACACAATCTGGAGTGTACAAATGTAGTAAACATGTGCAAGCCAGATAAGCTTTGATCTTCTCATGTGCAGGAAACTGAATAGCAACATGACTGATACCAGCCAAGGACAGAAGTTGAGAGAGTACCTCGCTCAGCCAGATAAGCTTTGATCTTCTCATATGCAGGAAACTGAATAGCAACATGACTGATACCAGCCAAGGCAGGGACAAGTCCACTTTATAAAAAAGAAAAAGAAAAATATCAGCCAGCGCACAAAACATATTATCATCAAACGGTGTAAAATCTTGCATCTGTGGACTTCCATGGAAAGCTACCTGTACAGTCCACGAATGCCTTCTTCATGTGCTATTCTCTTCAAAGCAGCAAGTGTACCTTTGTACGGGATCACCCCAGCTCGTATCCCTTGGGTCTACAAAAGGGAAAAGGATACAGATGATGATATGACTCAAAATAAAATCTTTGAATCAATTTGTCTGAGTATAGCATGTAGATGTTGACTGCTTAGTATGGACAGGTAAAAGATCTAAAAGAAATTCAGCATATTTATAAGTGATTATAATTAATGATAGCTCCATTCCAAATGGGCATTCAGCCTGTGTAAAGACCATCAGTCAACATTAGGAAAGAAATGGGAATTGCTTACAGGTTTTAAACACTTGCCTAATATAGGCCAGACAAAATATTTGGTATGCAGCATTTTGAAATTGCAATTATGCTATCAGGCGTCTTGGATCGACTACTGGTCCAGACAAGTTGTGGTCCAAGGATACCTGAAATCTTGTCTTCACAACCCAAAGTGGATTTGTTGCAATAGTAGTTGCACCTCCAGCACATGATGCAGCAATAACATTTGCCCCTAAGGACAGGTGATGACTTCTATCTGCAAAATGAATGTACGATACCACATAAGAACTGACAAATGATATGCTGTCAAGTAAGTCATATGCAGGGTAAAACACTAACCATTGGAAGAAAGCAAGCTTTTAAGCTGCTCATACACAGTAAAATAGACCTGGAAATCCACAAGGATACTATTAGCTCCACAATAGATCATAGACACTTGATTCATCTATAGTGTAGTGTACTACTCTACTCGGTGCCATACATGGGTTTGCATGCAGATCAACTTATAGCATTATCATTAGCATCGTTGCTTTTTACATAGAATTTAAAAACATCTCATCAATGGAGTAAGTGGAGCTATAATGTAAGGGTAAAGACTAACCGCCCAGTTAGGCAAGAGTGCCAGAATAGTTGGAGATAAACCACGATACATTCCCCGAAAACCTTCCCTCTGAGCAATCTGTTGTAAGCTTCCAATTATTACACTACCTAGTAATGATAGAACAAAGAACTGATGTAATAAACCTTAGCTTCTGAAGAATCTTGGTATAGTAGAAAACAATTTAGTCCAGACATAAGCATTTCAGAAAATATGCTACTCATCAAACTTCTATTGACAAAGATGCAAATTCAACAGTAAAAAGTACGAAGTAAGTGCATTATCAATGCACCAATGCTGTTGGCCACGTACATAGGATGACCTGCTGGCATTCTTCAGAGCATAACGGGCCACACATATGCCAGCATCCATGAATGCAGCTAAAACATTTTTTGAATTCAAAGCATGTACGTCAGCTGATGTTCCAGGCAATTTAGGTTCAGCAAATGTGTACCAATAACATCAGAAATCCAGGCTTGGAAGTATTACCCACACTATACTACACCCATGGACATCACAAAGTCTGTTGGCTTTTTTCACATGTTCATGTATGCTAATGCTTTTATCATACATCAACGAATTCATGCAACAGCAAATAGCACGCTGCATGCTTTCCTTCCATTCTCAATGTGCACGATCTCATAAGTTCCCAACAATTCCGCTCAACACATGTGAAGCTCCCAGCCCCACTTTGATTGGAGGTACTGATAGATTCAAGGTGCGCAAAACAACAACGAGAGACCAATCAAAAGCCTCAGATAACAGAACCGTCCAAACAAGCAATCCGAAACCGTTACGACATCTAAAAGCAGAGAGCAGATCTTTCGTTGCCGACAAGTATTTTCTCAACTCCCTGAATCCTGGAAGTGTCCGAGTAAAGCTACACAAAGAGAAAGGCACAAAATCTGCACCGGTTTACCATCATTCCCCTGCATGCATGATGCATCCACTGTATATTCTGACCACTATATGCACTGACTTTAAGTGCTCAAACTCCTATGTGCTCACCATGCTTCATCAAGCATAGGATAGAAATTGCAGTCTATAATAGATTTATGTGCAGCTCTAGCTCTGCAGCAGCAAACTGTAGCAAGCAAAGATTCGCAAGAATTCCTCTGAAGAGACACGCACCTCCAATTGTGCCGGTGGCGAGCTTGGGCCAGCCGTGCACCTGAAACCTCGTCTTGATCACATCGAGCGGGCACACGAAGGTCGCCGCAACCACACCTGCGGACAAGCCCCAAAAATTCAACGCTTGCTCCACATGGGCATCCCCGAAACACACAAATTGACCCAAAAAAATGGATAAGATAGCTCGAGCGGTCATGTGTTACCAGCGGAGGCGCCGGCGGCGGCGTGGCAGAGCAGGCCGCGGGCGGAGGTGGCGTGGTGGCTCTGCTGCGAAGACGCGGACGGCGGCGCCGGCGCCGGCGAGGTCGCCACGTCCCCCGGCATCACTCCCCCACACACACACCGATCTGCTCCTCCCCTCCCTCAGGGCACGGAACCGCGCGCCGCCGCGTCTAGGGCTACAGCCACCGCTACCCTCCCCTACCCCTAGGAGAAGGTGAAGCCCGGGGGCGCTACGCGAGGGCGCCCGATCGCATCCGCCTCCGGGGGGTCGCCCGCGACGTCCGTGGCGCGCTCGTCGCGGCAGCAGGAGGCGGCGAGGCGGGGGCGGAGGCGGAGGCTAGGGTTAGGGGTGGGGATCTGAGGCGGCGGGAGGCGCGCGCATTGGGGTCGCGGCGGTGGCGGTGGCGGCTTCCTCGCCTCGGCTGCTCCGTTTTTCCGTCGTCACGACATCCTCGCCTCGCCTCACCTCACCTGCCCTTCTCTCTTCTCTCTCATATGCTTCTCCTCCTCCTCCTCGGGGAGGCGTGGGGCCCACGTGGGGCGTCCCCCTCTCACTGACGGTGGGACCGGGAATGATTCCGAGGGTCCACGTGTCAGTGGGGTTGGGTGAAGACTTTCTCGCCCGTCGTGCACGTGCGGCGCGGCGGCTCACGTGCGGGGCCCCGATGTCAGCCACAAGCGTGGACCCGAGCGGATTCGTGGTCACCAGCCAAGGCCGTGGGGCCCACGAGTCATTGACACGTAGTCCTCGTTTACGTGTACGTGTAGAACTTTACCAGCTTATTAGTTAGGCCACATGTTTTTGACTCAACGAACCCCGTCACCCGACCACGTCACTGTCAGGTGGGACCACCGCGCGGTGGGTCCCCGGTGTCATCGATGGCGGGACGTGGGGGCCCACGGCGGTGTCTGGTCGCCGCTTACCACCCGGGGGGTGACGTGGTGGAACGGCAGCCGTGCATCGGGGACGAGGCGGAATCGACCGGACGGCCCAGATGGGCTCGCGGGGACCATTTTTTATTTTTCTTTTCCTCGTTTCGTTTTCTTTCGCTATCCACAGCGAGCGAGAGAGGAAAAGATAAGCACGAAGAATTATGTTGCTTTGTTTCGCCATGGTGCGGCTTGTACTGATCTCTCCCCCTTCTCTCGATTTGTGGGGACAGATTGGAAAATCGGACATAATATATAGGTAGATTGTCCAAGTACTTGAAAATAGCTCAAAATTTTGTCTTGTTTGTACTACCCAAGTGCCTAAGTAGTTGGTACACGTACGTGACTCTTATCAATGACTTTGGTTCGTAAACATAGGTATTTGGCAAAATTTGGTACATGAGTACATGACATCATGACTTCGATATCTTCACCGTACGACATTACACAAGTGACTTTAGAAAAAAACACTATAAAGGTGATTTATGATTAAATAGGGGAGAGGAACAATGTGAAAGTTGTGAACTATTGTTTCTCTCCCATCAAATTAGAAATCAATATTTTAATAGGTACGGCATCCATGAGTTAATTTTTACGTTTGTAGAGTATTTTCTTCCAAAAGCTACTTTTGTACGATGTTCTACAGCTAAAACCGCTAAGTCACAACATTCTTTATTAAATTTTTCCTTATTATTTTTATCATTGCTCTGTGTTTTTATCCTGAATGTTTCTTGCCATTTTTTTTCTTTTTGTTGTTATATGGCATAAGTACTCCCTTCGGTCAACTTTATTTTATTTTATGTATCATTTGTTAAATATAGATAAAATGGAAGTCGATCCAAGTGGATTTATTGGACCGTAGTAAGCCAAAAATTGAATTTACAACTTAATTTTCAAGTTAATTTTTTATATTATAGTTTATTTTATAGTATTTGCTTTTGTATCGCTAATGAGTAAGGACACTTATATAAATATTTTACCCATATTTTTTTCTAATCCTTTATAACCCACTAACTCCTAAAGCTTAACATGCAAAGGTGCCACATCATCATCCACTAACAATTAATACATTTAATATCATGTAAACATACTATATTATCTAATTTAAAATTTATTACATTTTAGAGCTTTTAAAATGAAAGCATGTTAAATCATCATCCCACATAATTCACATAATATTTCAATATATATTTTCATTATTTTTTATAATATCTTATATACCTATACAAGTTCATCCTCACTTGGTTAATATTATTTCTCTCTTCTCTAAATAAGCCATATCACATAAATTGATTTTAGTGCTTATGTAAGTTTATATTGTTTAGCTATATTACATATTATTTTTACTTATTATTATCATATTGAAGTCCCGCAGTAACGCGCGGGGTTTCACCTAGTAAACATACTAATTAGTATAAATAAAAGCGAAAAGATGAGATTGTAAGAAGTTGATAAGTTATTAGCTTGTATTTGTATTCGTAAATTAGAGTGGATCTAATTTATGGTTTTGACGTTACGTTTTAACAACTTATACGTTATTAAAATAAAATGAAAATTACTTAAAAAATCAAATGCGGTACTACATCTAACCGGCACGAAATAAGTGAACCCAACATGAACACGTACCCTAAACCTCAAATAACAGGCCAAGAAACAAGGTAAACCATCATTAGCTACATTTAAGATAACCCCTCTAATTACAAGTTATTACCATCCACACGAAACCGTATGAAATACATAGAAATAACTATTTGGATAAACCGTAGGAAAAACACATAAACTGGAAATTCCTACAATGTTAAAACTCTTGATAATTTTTCTCCAAAATCTACATTGAGCAAATTTATAAGGAATTCTATAGAATTTGGGAAGATCCATTTCTTTATTTCAAATGGTCAAATAGGAAATATTCTTACAGAATTAGAACCCTAAAAAAAATTCTGCACAAATCCTTTTGTTGACACCTTCGAAACAGACACGCAATAGCCTCTTATCTGTAAAGAAAGAGTTGACTGTCCAGATTAGAATTGGCTGTCCAATTCGATCCCCCAACAAACAGAAACCACCCTATCCATCCAGCCAGAGGGAAGATCTGGTCGGCCAAGAACCGAATCCAGTGCTATCAAGTATCAACACAAGATTGCTACAGCCAACCACGAATTGATTCCCGAATGCAAAGTAATTATCAGGAAAGAGTGACAGCAACCCAGGAGATCGAAAGGGAGAATGATCGCCTTTAATTCCTAATAATTCTTCAGTTTTTCTGTCTCGCCTTTTTTAGATCTCTGTTGATGGTGCTGGTAATGCCACGTACGAGCAAAAGATGAAAGCATAGTTAGGAAGTAATAATTCTGTATAATTATATGTACCTATCACGAATAATGAGAGAACTTGCCCTTTTAAAGCTTAGATCACTTGAAAAAAAGTAATGTTGAGAACTCTGGATTACTTTGTGCCTTACTGGACTTGCTGGACTTGTGGGAATCTACTGTACTGCCACAACTATATGGAATACGAGAAATTTTTTTTAAAAAAAAAGTTCCTACATTCCCGTAAATGAAGGAAATGAATTCCCTTGAGCAAAGGTAGGATTCACGTTCATCTAAATACAAACATTCTAGTGTTAGTTCATGAAATTTCAATCGTCTCCAACTGGCACATTGGCACATTTCTATCATGCTTCCTGATAATAAAGTCCATTGCCACCAAAAAGATGCATGCCTGAACTGTCATAGGCTCATAGCTCCTAATTAGCGATAACACAACATGGAAGAAATCTGAGCATATAATATTTACAGATGGCAGCAACAGCTGCTGAGATCATGTAAGATGTGAGAAAGATATGAACAGATTGATTCTTAACTTCTTCCTGGCTAACACTTTAGCAAGATACTACGTCCACAGTCAACTTTGATCAGCCCTTAATTTTAGAAGCGTAATGTACTCCGTGAATTCTTCACCCGAGAAACCTGCAACGATGGTTAAAATGTCACATGATGTTCAGGATTAGCATATAAACATGGCAGTTTGATACTTTGATGTTTTTAGATTGCACTTACAATATGGGACTTCCATTCCACTTTGCATCCCTCGGTGACACCAAACTGAGGCTGTCCCTTGACGTGATGGAATATATGAACAAGGACCACAGCATCAAGGGCAGCATACTCTTTCTGCAAAAGGAGGAAGAATCTCTCTGTTTTAGGGATGGCGCTTTTTGTCCTCGATGAACAGTAGGCTATCAAACTAACTCGTGGCTTTAGATTGCAAGATGAAGCATGTTTGACTTAGTTTTAACTAATGGTGTTTACCAAGATAAGCTTAGCACAAGATCTGATAGAAAATTTGCTTGTACATGAGAATAAGGAGAGGCATCTTAAGGTGATGTTAAAAATGTGGTAATCGACAGGCTCATTTCTAAAGTAAATTTCTTTTTCTACTTTTTTCATACAAACACCTGTCATGGTTAGAAAAGTATTGTGAAAATAAATTCAGAATGAGACTGAAAAAAAAAACTCACAATACAAAATTATGAGAAATTAATTAATCACTCATACCAACAAATAGGGCCTTTCAAGGAATAAGGACTCGTGAGGACAGCTTTTAAGGAATATGAAAGATGACAGACCTGATTCTGGGTGAGAGGGCGCTGTTCCCAGTTGCTATTCCGTCGCGTCTTGTTCAAACCAGCTCCTAATATTTTCTGATACATTCCGTGATAAATAAAGATGGAGGACCAGATGATTCACACTAAACTATAAGCTTAAAAAAAATCAAAACTGGTTCAACGTCCAGTTAAGTGGAGCCTATACCGCTATAGCAATTACCTTGGACAGCCCAGATAGACCACCAGTAGTCCCTTTGAAGAGCTTCTGGATATCAAGCAGCATTTCATAGGACTGGAAACATTTCAATTCTCCATATGATTGTGATAGTTGATGCAGATCACATTGCAGATTATATCCTTTGGTTTACAATGGGGCAAAAATAAGTACTTGTTTAACAGGATGCATAAGAAAGAAATGTTGTTTTCAGGAAAACAAGAGTGTATGGGAAGATATGGGTTTTTTAATCAAAATAGTACGCTACCTAGCTTTAGTATGTTTGAAGAACACATAATTCGCCTGAAGCAGCTATCCAACACTTTTGGGTCATCTTCATACAGCTTGATCAGATCAAAAATAAAAGCTTTCTTATCTGACGCAATTTGGATAATAGAGACCTAACCATAGAGCAAAATTCAATTAATGCAAGAACTGACATAGATAGATAAAATGCAGAATTTCTGAAAGAGGAACAAGTAAAAAATATCATGGGAACTTAAGGATAAGATAGTCGTTCCAAAACAATAAACACTGTAAAGAAAATATCACTGAGATGATCACAAGGCCATAGCTTACTACACAGGGAGTGATATGGATAACTGAATACTAGAACTACTAAATTGCTTAAATGATACCTAATACAATTTATTTATCCTATTTTATCCAGTGATGCCTTTTGAGGAAGAACAGGGGGAGATTTTCATTCAGCCTGCTGTATCGCCACAATAATGCAACATATGATTACCATACATTAGGAAAAATGATTATAATTGTACCAGAAAACTAAGTTAAACATGGAAACTGACAGAAATTTAAATTAAGACATCGCTTACCTTATTAGGTTTGCTACCTTTCTCAAAATTAGGCTTCCATTCACAATCCACACCAATAATTTTACAAGCTTCAATATAACTTATTGAATTAAGAAGTCCATCAATCTCATCAACCCAGATAATGTCTTCCAAAATCAGTTCTTTAAGATCTAAGTAGTCAGACCCACAACAAATCTCCTCTGGAACTGCTCATACACAATTAATATAGGGGATCAACAGTAGAAATGGAGTTGATGGGATAAAGTCAATTACAACGTATCAAGAGTACAGATAAAATTCAATGAATGTATCATAAAGCTGTGTTTCATATATCATAATTTTGCATTAACCCATCCTGCATTCTCCCTCCCTCCCTCCCTCTCACGCGTCCATGATTTTTGCATTGGTAAAAATGTTAGTCTTTAAAATACCTTGTTCCTAATTACAGCTCTTCCTATGTAAGTTAAATTTGGAACGTCGGATGCATGTAGTAAACCTTTCCATTATAATGTTTTTCTAGTAATTCTATATCAGCAACCCAGATTTCAAAGTTCCAGCTGAAAGTAATCAACTTAATCATTCTAGTGGGTTGTAATAACCAAAAGGAATGTCAGCAGGGTGGCTATTTAAAAGTTAATGCAAACGTAAAGGAGATAGTTTCTACAGCAGGTTGAAAATAAATAGCTAGAAAATTAAAAGAATACACACCTGCAGGACTACAGATATTAATGTATGATAAATAACGTTGGTGTTTATGATTACCCAAAGAATTGACATAGCCTTCAAGAGAGTATCTTTGGCAAAGTTCTTCAACTTTCTCCATGTACCCAGCTTCCATAGCTAGGTATACCTGCACAAGGTAACAAAGTCATGAGTAAAGCAATTATATTTTACTAGATGGCAACCCGCGCGTTGCGGCGGGATAATGGTGTGTGCAATACGATTATAAAAAGTCTATATATTAATATGAGAGAGATTGTTAGTTGATATGAACCGTAAAAGCACCATCTGATGATAAGATGACAAATGGCATGACCTGCCTTCTTTAAGCAATAATAACTACACTATGTGGGATAATCAATATTAAGTTATCTAGGAACTAATGAGAAGTAAATGTAACTATTTTAATATATCTTGGATGATTGTGATGAAGCATGGGAATAATCCAATGGCTCTTATTTTGTCAGTTATGTGGCTCAATGCATGTTAAGCTTTTGGTGCCAACTATATAGGATATATAGATTTTATACACAAGGATGCCAGCAAAAAATAAATAAATATGAACACTATGAAATAGATGACAGCATGGCTTCACAATAACGACCATCAATCCACATGTAACAAAAGCAATACATCCTAGCCATTTCATCCGATGAACAAAGATAGAGGCATATAGGAAACTGTGTCTCGAGTGAATCCATCTTCCATTGCAGCAGATACTTTCATGATGACATGTACAAACAACAAACATGTCTAAAAGATGACTCTGACAATGTGGATGCATATTACCAGGTATTCCATCAATTTTGTTTCCTTCTTGGCCCGAACCTCTGCAATATCCCAGCACCCTTTCTCAGCCAGCTTCTTCAGTACACTGCAAATACAATATAATTCAGAGATCTATAAGATTAGTAAACATTATAGTAGAAATATTTTGCAATTTGCATTGAGCAAAACAAAAGTTACCTCTCTTTATACAAATAGTTAACATCTGGGAACTTTTCTGTAAGGTCATGTTGTTTTACCAACTCATTTGCCCTCTTTAGCATTTTTATATCCAGATACGTTTGGATGATCAAACATATCATTTCATTCCCCATGAAAACTGCCCACTTCTCTGCTGCCTCCAAGTGATTATTTTCAATCAGTTTTGTAAGAAAGGACTCATCATAACATTGAATAGAAAATCGTGTTATCAGGTTCACAGCGGTCACATAAGATTCTGATTCCATTAAGCATTGTACATACTGTTTGAGATGTTCTTTTGCTTTCACTAGATCTTCATCACCCAACTCTGAACCATATAATGCATCAGCCATATCTCTCAACTCGATATCATATGCCTCGAGAAGCTTTATCAGTATGCGTTCCTCATGGGGCACAATAGAAGCAACAATATCAAGAATAAGTCGCGCAGCAAGATGCTTTGCATCTAAGAAATCTTTCTGTACAGATTCCACAGATTTCAAATGCCTTAGAGAAGAGATCAACATATGGCTGAAGCCTTCAGCATGGGTTTTCCCCAGCAGTGGCACAATATACATGCATTGAACAACATACGTGAATGGGCCTGGCTGAGGATCATTATTTAATACCCTTTTAACCTGCAGCTGAAGGATCTTGAACTTTGGGGTTGCTTTGTCAGTTCCTGATTTTTCAAAAAAGATTGTAAAACATCAGAGTATGGACAATTAATAAGTGCATAAGATCAAGGATGAAATTGATATCGAAAACAAATAAAATAAAATAATAAAGCAAGCTTGTAGCAAATTCATAGCAGAGAGTTGGTTATGCAAAAAGTTTGAAGACCCAAGGAATTCAAGAGCCTGCATTTTGCATTAACCGAATTTGAAAATCATATTTGATGATATTTACCTCAACCAAGGTTCCATACAAACTACTATGGATTTAACCTGTAATTATTACTATGTAGGTAACTTTATTTATTTTCCTATCACGTGTTTATTTCTGGGAAGATTGTGTGACAGCATTTTCATATCATAATCAAGCAGAATTAGTTGCACCGAAGCTTACAGAAAGAAATATTTTAGCACACCAATCATGTAGATATTAAATTATAACAGTGCCACATAGATGATACTACCTCTTTCTTAATAACTGACAATTTTGACTTTCCCAATTAAACTTTGACAATTAATTGCCCTTAAATTGTTAGACCAAAGTGAACGAAAGTTTTGATTTAGGGCAAACCCCACTTTAGTAACATGGTATCATTTCTAGGTTTGTAAATATTCAACAAAAAATATGAGTATCAGTTATTATGAAACGGAAGGAGTAGTTTTCGAATAGCATGAAAAAGAACTAGGTATACCATATAGGTAGCAGTCCTTCAAAAGATACATAAAAGTAGCTGCAGAAACATGTGACAAGTCAGAAAATGAGTGTAAGCACAGGGAGCGCTCTTCATTGCATTGATTGAATTCAGAGTCTTCCTGAGTCTGTGTCTTTGAACAACCCATACTTCATAAAATCATCCCAACCTGCGTATGAGAACATATATTCCACATTAAATCATAAATTGAACCTCTCCACCAAAACAAATAATCTGAGACAGCTCCATATCGTCATAAACGATGGGAAACTAACTATTTAGTTCTGCTCAGTGGAGGTTGCTGAGTTTGCGAATACAAAACTACGATTCTGCTAGAGAATTTATATACATCTATCAAGCTGACATTTCTTCTCACTCCAGGAATTCCTAACAAGCTGAAGTAGTATTTGTTTTCGCAAGATATAAAACATTAACACCATCAGATTATCCATTCTAGCACCTCAGACTATATATATGGCATATGCTAATGGAGACAACAATGCTACAGCAATACTTCCACAAAATCTCTGTAACACTAGTCTGAACGAACTAACAACAATTGATATTGTTTCCCCCACCCTCTCCGCCTCCAGAACATCAAAGATCAAGAACAAGATACAACACTTTGGACAGGCAAAAGGGAGATTGAAATGCTCACACATTTCCTCCATTCATCCCAAAACCGATCGCCAGAGGGGATTTTTTTTCTCTGTTTTTTTTGGTTTTTCTTTTCGAAAAAAAAAATCCCCCACCCTAAATCAAGCTCTCACTACTGAGATTGGGGAGGCGAGGCTCCCGTCGCCGCAACTCGCCAACCACAGACAGAAGAAGCAACGACGAAAATGGAGATGAGACGAAACGAAGCAAGAAGACGAGCGCGATACCTGCCTTCCACACGGGGATTCCGGCCAACTCCTCCTCCTCCTCCTCGACTCTTGGTCTCTTGCTTCTAGGGTTCGCGGTCTTCTAGGAAGTTGGGGCTCGATACTTGGAAGCGCAAGAATGGAAAATTTTCGCGGACGAAAGACAGGGGTTTCGTTTCACGGACCACGACGGCTGCCGCAGGTGACCAGAAAACACCACTCGTCGGCGGCGGCGGCGGCGGCCGCTGTACTCCTTCAGTTTTCGGCCTTCTCGGCCTTTTTTTTGGGGGGCCTGCTTGACCTTTTTGGGCCTTTTTCGGGTACATGCAACAGGACCAGCTTCTTTTCTTCCACCCTTCTTCTTCTTAAAAAAGAATATATTTAACCGTGAAATTTTCCCCAGTACTCCCTCCTTCCCATAAAAAAACCAATACTGGATGTGACACATTCTAATATGTCCATATTCGTTTTTCTTTCGGGACGGAGAGAGTACCTTCTATAGATCGCTTTCCTTCTGTACCTCTGAATTTAAATTTGATCTTTATGGTTAGTTGACCATGAGTTGACTATTAAAATTTCCATCAAAAAGTCTATTTTACCCATTGGTATGAAAAAGCATATAGATTTGTGGAGCGTATTGTTGGATTTAAAAAAACTATTGTATGAGTTTATAGGTTTGTTATGCGGAATTTATTTATGACAGGTTTTATGTTTAGATGACATAAATTATTATTATTTATTTAAAATAATTGTTTGTGTAGATTTGTCTTATAAGACAAATACGTTGAAACTACTATCAACAAAAATATGCTACATGTACATTTTTTAATAATTAAAAAATAAATATTGATTTTTTTGTCATGCATGAAATAAATTTTGTCGTAAATAATATCTCGCATGACAAACTCATAAATATAAAAGTTTCATACAGTAAATTTCTATACTCCAATAATATAAATAATTACATGTTTCTTCGTACTAAATGGCAAAATAGACTTTTTTATAAGAATTTAATGATCAACTAACAATCAACCAACAGAAAAGGTATGGAAGGGATCGAAGCAAAAAGTCTAGGGTATGCAAGAGAATGAATAAAACTCAGCAGCATAAAAGGACTTGGGCAACTTTTAAGGGGTATGTAGGTGTCAAGGGAGTGATTCCTTGGACAACGAGGAGTGGAGACCCCTCCCCCCCAAGTGGGAAGATTCAACCAAGGGGTTTGTGGTGCAATACTTAGAAAAAGATTCAAGCAAGATCGGATCTGTGGGGCCCAAGCTCCCCGCCATGCAAAAGACACATGAATTATACAGGTTCAGGCTATCCGGAGGTGTAATACCCTACTCATGTGTTGGTTTCGTTGTCTTCCCTAGATCAGCTGCTTACAAAGGAGGCTTTTTCAGGCTGCAAAATGAATTATACCGATCTAAAGAGTCCAGCCCTCCATCTGTAGCTTGTCCCCTTCATTTTATAGTCCAAGTAGGGGCTCACATTATTACAAATATACTCCTTGTCTTGTCTTATCAGCTATCTTGTCGTTGTCGGCTGGTTTCCTAACACATCTTCAAGAAAACCCTATTGAGATTTGAAATCTGCATTACCCCGTGTACCCGGGCTTCTGTCCGAGACAGCTGGGTCGCGCCAGCTATCCCAACACATGGCGAGTGGTGGGCTTGGTGGAACCCGGGCTGTCTGAAACAATGCCACAGCCTCGCTTCTGCCCGTTTGGCTTAATCAGGTGGTGCAGGGCATGTTCGACACGCATCCAAGGTGCCACCGGCACCAATGACTCAACACTGGTGTCTTGTCTACATCCTTTCAACTCCATGCTGGCTGGGGCTCCCCATAAATCTGTTTCATTTATGGCGGAGAGGACCGCTTCACAATAGCCCGTGGAGCGTGTCCATCTCCCCAGCTGGTCGTGAGGTCGCACCTGCGCGCTTTTTGTGATGATAGTTCATCTATTCTTAGGCATGCTTCTCGAAAATGTCTTTGATGAGTCGATAATGTAGTTATTTTACATGTTTCGACGCTCTTTTTTGCAGAAGAATGCGGAAACTATAGGGACTAGGGCGTGCCTGGATCCCAAGGCGAGGAATGGACCGAGGCAGACCTTGAGCTACATACTTATCCCGTAAACAATTGAAGGTGGGCCCGGGACCCACCAAAGTGGGACCCCTAGCCGCATCAAACTGGGTGTGGCTTTTTATTTTTAAGGATGGTTTAAGCATGTCATTTATTTTATTTATAATTGTTCTGTCAGGGAAATGGGTACCCTGGTTGCCATTTTACCGACAGTAGGGAATTTACTTTTCTTTCTTTCTTTTTCCCTCTTCCTGTTATTTTTTGAAGGGGGGAAAACAGAGAGCAAATCTCATTGTGTAAGTGTTCTTGCAGGAATGGTGGTGCTTGTTAGCTTGTAGCCATGCGCATCCCTCCTATCATCATCCAGGAAGATTGTTTTAAGATCCACGAACAAAAGAGATTTTGTAATCAATTAATATCATGCTAAGCTCTACTCACTTTGTGCCACGAAAGACAAATCTAGGACTGGATGTGAGATATTCTATTACAACAAATTTGGAAGTACAACGAATTTATCTTTAAATTCGTTGTACTAGAATATGTCACATCCAGTTCTAGATTTGTTTTTCTTTGAGACGGAGGAAGTAATTCCGTAAGAATAGGGGATATCATATAACCTCTAGGGACCAATAAGGGTCACAAAATCCACTTCAAAATAGCACTCACATGTCCCGTGATGAAGGGCTTTAGATTTGGGGAGTTTTAGATTATAATAAGCAACCGGTGGGAATTCAACCAATGAGAATCTAGAGAAGTTTGAAAAACCGATTTTAGTTTACTTATTGGATTTTGCACTACAGCCTCTTAGAATATGTAAGAAAAACTGGATTGTTTGGGGGGACTTGTCTATTCTGTGAGAAGTCGTAGTTATCAAAGCTCCCCCAAATGATTCTGAAACATAAGCCATAATTCATGTGTAGTTGTGTACAAAGCCAATGGCTGCAGTTGTACCACCAGCACACGAGGGCATGTTGAATGTGCTTGGGGGAATATTATCCCAATCATCTGAAGCATACATTTTAATATTAACCGTTCGTTCATCTTATCCCATTTCATCCCAACCATCCATTCGTCTTCTTTTTTTATTCCCGCCCTTAATAATCCATATAAGTTCCAAAACATCCTCTGAGATAAAATAAAGAGTGAATTCCACTTTGGACCAGTTTTTATTACCTTGTTTGCATATTGGACCAGGTATAAGCAAATTTTTTTCACTTAGGGCTAGATTTTGTGACCAAATTTTGCATTTTGGACTATTGGATCCACAAGTCAGTGGCCAACATCATCTTCTTCCTCAGCAGTCTTCTAGGCTGAGCTATATCCAGCGATGTCTCTAGTGAGCCTATTAATTCTTCACACAGACAAAGTTCCTCTTTCCCAATCTCCATTCACCTCGAACCACACTCTGCTACTTGACGAGTCTGAGCGCAGATGCTCCAAACCTGCCAGCAATTTGAAAGGTGTGCTTGGTGAGTTCGATGTCAGGAGCATGCATGGAGAAAGAGACGGGGTTCGAGGTTGAGGTGATAGAGAATGAACAGAGATGGAGCTCGAGTTCTACGTGGTGGAGTTGGACTGTTGGAGCTCGAGCTCAAGCAACAGAGGAGGTAGAGCTCGAGCATTGAGGCAAAAAAAAGAGTTGGAGCTCGAGTTGGGAACAATGGAGGATGCAAAGCTTGATATCGGGGAGGATGAAGATCGAAACCTGCAAGACCAGTTAGTGAGTGTGCAGATCATGGAGATTTTCACCTTTCTCATTATTCTTTCTTGCCAAGTATCAGCGAGAAGAGCTCCGTATGGGCATGGCAAATGTTGAGCTCGATCTGCCTTGCTCAGATTCAGTGGTTCACAGTGGTTCTTGGAGGAGAGAGCAGCAAGAGAGAGAAGCTAGAGAAGAAGAGCGGGTTGAAAGTGAAATATGTTGCAAAGATATCTGGCACAAATTGAAAATGGTTAGTTAATTCTAGTCCAAGTTGCAACTTTGGTAAAAAGATATGGTCCAATATACAATTCACTCTAAAATGAAAATGGTCACGGAATTTCATGACCGCCTGATCGTTGTTTCCTTACAAGTTGTATTGTTTTCAGCCATTACCATTTTAGCTATATATAAAATTTGATTTTTCTAATTTATTTCAACGTCATATTGATATTGAAACTAAACTATAAATATAGTCAATTATAGATCGACTGAGCGTCAAGTGCTACCGTCGAGTGCTACCGATTCTGACCGTTTCCATAATTACGAGAGCAGATGGTGTATATTGAGAAGCTGCATGCTCATCGACACAGCCTTGTGTTATCGTAATTTATTGTATGGCGATTGATAACGCTCTGGAGCTATGGATTTTGTTTTAATTTGTAACTGGAAAAAAATTTTCTATCTTTTCCAGCCCAGACAACCAGCGAAATCAAGTCTCCCGTAAACATACTTGTATCCTAATTTTTTTAATCAGAACCCCGTACTGTACTCGATTGTCATTGGAGAGTTTGATTCTGCTATAGCATACTGCACACTGTAAACTGAAGTGTTTTTAAAGTTTAAAATGAATTTCAAAGTTTGATTTTAAAAGAAATCAAAACAATATTTTAATTGTCCTCTTTTTTTTGCGGGGATTTTAATTGTCCTCTTTAGCGATCATGAAAAGAGAACCAAAACAAAAGATGAAAAACACTATAATATGAATATTCGCCATGCAGGATGCCTAACACAAGGAGCCAGGACCCCTTAGTTGGCGCCAACATGCTAACACAGGGGTTACGATCTTGATTGGCAAGTGAAACCCGAGCCCCACCAAGGCATCAATTTTCGCTAATTTTGAAGCATTTCATATAAATTGGGACAAATTTCGAACAAGATGCGCATCTAGAACCATCTCGAGATGATCAAAATTCATGAAATTGGATCGAAATTCATTGAGATTGTGAACCCTACTTTAACATCAGCTGGTACGTAGGAGGAACTCAAACTTTCCATCACCTTTTGTACTATTCTCTTTTTTTTCTTATCATAATTCTGAAATGTACTTGCAGTTTTGATTGAAATGGAAAGGAACTCTATCCAGTAGTAGCATAGTGTAGCATTTCATGTCCAATGGAGACTGACAAATCATCAAATCTGCCGGAAAGAAAGAAAGAAAGAAAGAAAGAAAAAAAGAAAGAAAGAGAAGGCGAGCTACAAAAGGTGATCTTAAGCATTGAAGCATCACCAAGAATTTCAACAGAATAACAGCAGCATATGGGTAGGCTAGGGAAAGAAGAAAAGAATAGACCAAGGAAAGGAAAGAAGACAGCAGAAGAAGCATCTCAAAGCTTTTGATCTTATATCAATGTTTGAGTGGTATCCTAGTCACAAACTCACAATGCCTTTAGTGATGGTGTGGTATATCTTGCCAGCGCCGCTAAATATATAAGCATTGATAGTCGGCTATAACTTTTCAATAAATGATATAGAGTAAAAAGCTAGTACACAAGACAGAAATGTAATTTCCTTGTCTATCGTACTTTTCACATCAAAATATTTGGGCTCTGTTCGTAATAAAAACAAACAAAACGTTTCTCATGTAAAATTATGTTGATTTGCACTCACATGCCATGACAGTGGAGGGTGACATAGTGATGCTCGAATATAGTGGAGGGTGTACTATAAATGAAATTAGCACACTTATGTTCTCAAATAGATGTCGTTTTATCATATTAGTTTTGTCGTCAAATATATGCCATTTAAGGTCTTCTATGCATTTTTCGGCATTATTCCTAATGAATCTAGTTAGCGCATAATTAAGCTCATGGCTTTGTACGTAACAAACTGAGGCAAAAGAAACATTGTGCCAACCTAGGTGGTTGGAGCTTGATGATGCTTAATTAGGGGCAAAGTGTCCATGACAGGCTAAATATTGAAGAAGAGGTTTTTTTACTGTCCTTGAGGTTGTGCAGTACCAAATCCTGACCGTTGATCTGGCATCATCCAACGGTTAGAAATCATCCGTACCTCATGGTACTGCACCTCCTCATTGAAGTGGTACTATGGGTGGAAGGGTCTTTCTGTCCTTTACTGTTTCACGAGAGAAAGAAAAAACGTCGGGAGAGCATAGCAGCGGCATGGCGGTTGGCTCGAGGGGGACGGCGGCGGGCGCCTGGACGCGTGACGGCGGCGGCGGGCTGGACGGCGGCTGGACGCGCGGCGGCTAGACGCGGCGGGCTTGAGGGGGACGATGGCGAGCGGACGGACGCGCGGCGGCGGTGGCGGGACGCGCGGCGGCTGGAAGGGGCTGGACGCGGCGGGCTCGAGGGGGACAGTGGCGGGCGGACGGACGCGCGGCGGCAGGCGGCTGGATGCGCGACGCCGGCGGCCGGCTGGATGCACAACGGCGGCGGCAGCCTCGATTGGCGACAACGACGGCCAGCTGGATGAGGGACGGCGACGACGGTGGCGGGTTGGATGGGCGACGGCGGCGGCAGCCTCGATTGGCGACGACGACGGCCGGCTGGATGGGGGACGGCGATGACGACGGCGGGCTGGATGGGTGACGGCGGCGGCAGGCGGCCAGCTAAATGCACGACGGCGGCGGCTGCCTCGATTGGCGACGATGACGACGGGCTGGATGGGCGACGGCGGCGGCCGGTGGCCGGCTGGATGCACGACGGCGACGATGGCGACGACGACGGCCGGCTGGATGGGGGACGGCGATGACGACGGCGGGCTAGATGGGTGACGGCGGCGGCAGGCGGCCAGCTAAATGCACGACGGCGGCGGCTGCCTCGATTGGCGACGATGACGACGGGCTGGATGGGCGACGGCGGCGGCCGGTGGCCGGCTGGATGCACGACGGCGACGATGGCGACGACGACGGCAGGCTGGATGGGCGACGGCGGCGGCCGGCTGGATGCACGGCGGCGGCGGTGACCTCTATTGGCGACGACGACGGCGGGCTGGATGGGCACGGACGAAGAGATGTTTTTTTTGTCCGATCATACCCTTGCTAAATCAACGGTTAGATTAGATTGGTACCTCATGGTACCTCGTACCTCATGGTAGCTTCTCAAGGATAGAAAAAATGCTCATTGAAGAAAGAATTAACACTATAATGCTAAATAGAAGAGAGAAAGTTATGGAACCATAGACATCCTTATTGGTTTTCATAGATGCTTTACTTCTAAAAGCCTCGGGGAGGCCATGAACTGCCTTAGACTGCTCTAATACCTCTCTCTAATTTCACATTTAACACTTTCATTAATAATATGTAGTACGGGCTAAGGTCGCTCTACCCCTCACATACAATTCTGATCCGCTCCCATCTCTACTCCACTCCATTTCAGATCTGATGGTGTTTTTGGTTCGACTCGTGCTACTTTGGATGAGGACTTATGAATCTACGGCCTACCAAACAACCATGAAATACTCCCTTTGTTTCATATTCTACCAAATAGCCTTGAAAGTTAAAAGAAGTTTGACTAAATTTATTAAAAAAAATCTTAGCCATATGTACAACACCCAACAAACATAGTATCAAATGTTAGTCTTTAATGAAACTAATTTGATATTATAAATGTTACTATATTCTTATATAAACTTAGTAATACTTAAAAATGATTAATCTTTACTATTAAAAAATCGAAGATGTTTTCGCTGGAATTTTGGTACGTCATCCATGTTTGTGTTGGTTGTATGTCACCCGTATCCAATTCGTCGTGAGTAAAATAACTATTACACACTCCCTCCTAGTCCAATCCAACTGTCCCACACCATCCCTCTGGAATTAAATTTGAAAATATACCTCTTTTTTCAATTTTTTTAATATTTTGTGTTTATATACATGAATGGAAAACATTTGCACAAATACACCTCCGCACAACGGGGACGCGGGATCGAGGCGGTGCCGCCCTTCCATTCCGTGGGACCGGCGGTCGCGCAGGACGGCCGTGTGGCACCGCCTCGCTCCCGCAGCCTAGGAGAGCAGCAACGTGGTGGAGGGTGGTCCCGCGTGACAGTGCGGCGCGACCAGCACGGTCCCACGCCATGGCTCCGCGTGACTGGCTCGGGACTGCGTGCGATCGCCCTCCACCATACTGCCGCACGCTGCCGCTCTCCTGGGCTGCGGGAGCAAGCCGCACGGCCGTGCTGCGCGACCGCCGGTCCCGCGGAATGGAAGAGCGGCACCGCCTCGGTCCCGCGTCCCCGTTGTGCGGATGAGGTATATTTGTGCAAATGTTTTCCATGCATGTATATAAACGCAAAAAAAATAAAAAATACATATTTTCAAATTTAATTCATCCCTCTGCCCCATCCCTCGTGCCCCCCTAGGTGTTTTTTTTTCTTCCTTCTTTTCGTTTTTCCTCGTTTTCTTTTCTCTCCATCATCTTGATCTTCTCCCACTCCTTCCAATCTCCTCTCTTTTCTCCTCATTTTCTCTTTTTTTCCTTTTTTTCTCTTCCAGATTTCTCTTCTAATAAATATAAGAAATTACCATTGTTTAGGTGTATATGTGGCAAGTTTGTTACTTTGTAAATGCATATAATTTATAGTTAAAAATATCACTAATTGAATAATCAAAATTTCAATCTTTGATCGATGAGGTATAGCAAAATACAAGTGTGCCAATTTATGGAATAACCACCCGATCAATTTATAAGGCTATGAAAAGATGTATATAAGGGATTATTCATGTGATGATGTATGAAACAAATGCAACAATCGTGTTCAATGCTATATACGATTTCCGACTTTGTTTTACCATTGTTTTTTTTGTCTTGTTTTAGTTTGTCGTTTAATTTAGCAAGGATTTGATCAAACGTGAAAATTGTATTGTAATACACATGCATTTTTTTTGCTAGTTAGAAAAAAGAAAATCAAGACAACTGAGCGAGTATCTAACAATTGACAAAAGTATCAAAATTGCTTTTTACAAAGAAAATTTCCAACTGTCAATAATGCATCGATGAGTGATACTTTTCTTCATGGCTGCATCACAACACTCTCCTTTCTCTCCTTCCTTTCCCCTTTTGTCGCCCTCCACCCTCTCAAATCAAAGCAAAAAAAACACAAGAGCATTTCCCATCTCTCCCACTCCTTCCGCCATGGCCGACTACCACCGCCCCTACCGGAGCGACCTCGACCTCCGCCCACCGCCGCCGCCGCCGTCCTCCGCCTCCTTCCCGCACTCCAACGGCTACTACCTCCCCTCCTCCTCCTCCTCCTCCCCCACCGCCAACGGCTACTTCTCCTCCAAGGGCACCGGCGGCTTTGCGGCCAACGGCGACCGGCGGATCGAGATCTACACCACGGCGCCGCCCCCGCCGCTGCCCCCTCCGCCGCGCCTCGCGCTCCCGCCGCCGCCCGGGAGGCGGGACGGCTACCTGGGAGGTGGCGGAGCGGGGGGTGGCGGTGGAGGAGGCGGAAGCGGTGGCATGTGGTGCTTCAGCGACCCGGAGATGAAGCGGCGGCGGCGGGTGGCGAGCTACAAGGCGTACTCGGTGGAGGGCAAGATGAAGGCGTCGCTGCGGAGGGGGCTCCGCTGGTTCAAGGGCAAGTGCTCCGAGATCTTCCACGGATGGTAAAAACCCTCTGTGATCCGCTCTCCTCACGCCATGGCTAATGATGGCTCCTCCTCCACTTCTCGGAATGAAAGGCTCCCTTGGAACATTTGCAAGTTAGATTTATATTTTTTTTTTCCCACCGGAAGGAAGGTAATGATCCTGATATCTCTTCTACGACTGCTACTACTGCTACTAATTCGATGAAATTTGAGATTGCGAGTGTATATTGATGAGCTAATGGAGGGTGGGAGGCGTTTGCGAATGCTCCATTTGATGCGTGCGCGGTAGGCGAACTTGAGGAATAATATGCATTTTGCGGCGGCGATAGCTAGTTGTGTTGCTTATCTTTTGTTACTGATCAGATGATTTAGTAGTAGAGTTGTGTGGGTGGATGTATCTTTTGTTGATCGATAAAAAAATTTTCTCCTGCTGTTTTGGAGGCCTCAACCCGAGTTGGTATTTGGCTATTTGCTACCACAGTTTGTTTGTTGTTACTTCTACTGAATTGAAGATGGTGTAATATTCACCAATACTTGACACTTGATAGATGTAGAAATGGGTGAGATGATCATCTTTGCTCATCAGTTTTATTTGTTTAATATTCACCAATATTTCTGGTTAACTGTGTGGTACTGGTGTTCGTTTGAGTTTGATCTGGAACAATGAGTACAAAGGTTGATAAGTTGATCAAAGCAAGTACCACCTATGAACATTGATGAGCTTCCATCTGAAATACAAAAAAATATTGGTCACCTCGACAGCCTAGTTTCAAACTCTTCCTGGACATATGACAACAAGCTAACCTTGTTTTTTAGCAGCTTCTTAGAACATGGTAATTTTTTTTCTTGCTCATTTTATCATTTCTATGGTAAAGTATACAGAAAAGAAGCAGTAGTTAGGATGACATGGCGTCTAACTCTTCCTTTGTTCACCGTGTTTGGTATGATGTGATTTTGTTCACCAAACTTTCCTCGCTGTCTATGTTAGACCAGCATTAAGCTAGTGATTTGTAGCTTTAAACTTTCTTTTTGAACACGTACACGTCAACCAACTAACAATATATTTTAGTAACAGCTAAACATATTAAGATATTTTTATTGTTCCTTATAATGACCCCTATGTTTTATTCCAAAATTTCCCTTAGCTTCATGCATATTATATCAGCATAATCAATTCAGTGATTTTGTAAATTTGTGGAGATGTCGATGTCTCATTACACACCTTTAGTCCATATCATATTAACAATTTAACATACTTAAGCCAATGATTAACAGAATTGCTGGGCACCTTCACTGTCGACATGAATGATCATATAATTCTCTTGAGGTCTTAATGATATTTTGGCACAGACATTGATTTTGATAGGTGATACATTGTAATTATTAACTGAATCCGTGGTGATACTTAACAAAACATGGCAGTAAAATATTTTCAGCTCAGATATCAATGAGTTCTGTTATTGGGCATCATTCAGATCGACCAGTGAATTTTGTTCATCATAATGTTTTATGTCAAAACCCTTGTTACACGTACTTAGAGCACCAAAGAACTATGTGGTGTTGTGACTATCAGACAAAAGTGTTCGTCATTGATCTGTAGAGGAGCCAAACATATGAAATGGTCCTACATTAGTGATCTGTAGAGGGGATCCAACATGACCCTACATTAGTGATCTGTATGGGGACCCAAACATGACCATACATTAATGCTGGTGTTTAAAAGAAGACTGTACTGATTGAGCATTTGAGCTGTTGCCAGGGAAGGTATCAGCCACTCACCCTTCTTTTAGTTCATCCTATGTGTTGCTGTGTTATTCTGTTTTCTAGTCCCTACTTTGGTACTATACACTCTGTAATCTACTACTACTCTATGATTAGTACTAGTATCTCCTTTTGAGTGAACTATTGCTTTCACTTGACTGGTTCAGAGAGCTACAGTAGTAGCTTCTCAGTGACTGCAAGAACTGAATTAATGAAAAAAATGGTAGTACGATGCTGATGCATTGTGTGGTCACCAGGAAGCTAAATGCTGCCTTGCTGTGCTTACCTGTGGGAGTAATGTCGGTCAGGGGAGGCTCTTCAACACACTTGTCCTCTACTTGATGCTGATTGTGGAATCTTTGACTGCTTGGTGCTGGTGATCTCTGGGAGAGAAATGAAGGACCCTGACATTGCCCACGTGGTTTATTTTATGAAGTTCATGTGCATAGTGAAAACATGTTGATTTTTTTAATTAAATTGTTTGTAAAAATTTAGCTTTTACCACTAATTTTCATGCAACTTTCTGGATAAACTTAGGCCTGGTTTAGTTCACAAATTTTTTTTCCCAAAAACATCACATTGAATTTTTGGACACATGCATAGAGCATTAAATATAGATAAAAACAAAAACTAATTGCACAGTTTGTATGGAAATCGCATGACGAATCTTTTGAGCCTAAATAGTCTATGATTAGCCATAAGTACTATAGTAACCCACATATGCTAATGGCGGCTTAATTAGGCTCAAAAGATATGTCTCGTGGTTTCTAGACGAGTTATGAAATTAGTTTTTTCATTCGTGTCCGAAAACCCCTTCCGACATCCGGTCAAACATCCGATGTAACATCCAGAAATTTTATTTTCGCGAACTAAATAGGCTTACGGAAACAAATTTTGAAACGCCCAACCAAAATATGTGAAAACATGTTGATGTTTGAACTGATGTACCCACAGAAGTAGAACAGCATGTTTTGGTGTCCCTACGTAGTACTAGTACCACTAGATGCTCCAGCTTTTCTCCGTTGGAAAACGTTCAATTTAGGTCCCTCGACTACAGCCTTTGTTAGATTCGTGTGTCCCTAAACTCGTAAAACTAGATATGGAGGATCTCTAACTATTAAAACCGGGTTTAGTTTATGTGGCATGTTTAACCTGGTTTTTATTTGACGTGCCATTTACATGGAATTATTATTAACAAATACTCCCTCCATCCCAAAATGTTTGACGCTGTTGACTTTTTTAAAAATGTTTGACCGTTCGTCTTATTCAAAAAATTTAAGTAATTATTAATTCTTTTCCTATTATTTGGTTTATTGTTAAATATACTTTTATGTATACATATAGTTTTACACATTTCACAAAAGTTTTTGAATAAGATAAACGGTCAAACATGTTAAAAAAAGTCAACGGCGTCAAACATTTAGGGAAGGAGGGAGTATAAAACTAAAATACGTGGGGCCCACTAACATGTGGGCCCATCTCTCTTTCTCCCATTTGACCCCTTCATCTTTGTCTTCAACTGCTGCCGTCGTCAAAACTTGCCCGCTTGTTGGCACCCTCCTTATGTTGATGTTGATGCTGATGCCGAGTTGCCGACATAGCGGGACTTGACATACCTGGTGTAGCTGCCGCCATGCCCAAGGGAAGGGGTCTATTGGTTTCCCACGACCACCACCGTGGGCCTTGAGGATAGGGAGGATACCAAGCCACTGTCGTCGCCTCGATGATGGTAGTTCCACCCCAAGTCGCCCTCGATGATGATGGTGTGCTGGAGATGGCGAAAGCTATCGATCCGGCGAAGGCTACAAAGGTGTCGACGACAACGGGGGTGGTGTAGAGGAGCTTGGGCACGACCTTGGCATGTGTGGTGCTTGAGGTCGAGGAGGGTCTCCTGGAAGGTGCTATGGAATGCGGACCTCGTCGAGGGCTTCCTAGACGTCGTCGAAGATGAGGTTGAGTCACCGCTAACCCCTACCCAAGCCACCATTGACCATCTCTTCTGGCGGTAATACGGACGTCGCTTTCTAGATCAGGAGGCCTAGGGCGCTAGCTCAACCTTTGTTGCTTTCGGCAGGGCCGGGGAGCCATTCTGTGTGTGAACATCGATCGTCAAGGGCTCCACCTCTCAGCCCACTATCGATGGGGATGCATCGTGTCCACCTTATCCCTAGGCGGTCACCATCCCTTTCCTCCTCCTCGTCAGCCTGTACATGTGGATGCCAAGGTTGTGACCTGCGTTTTGTACACTATGTCCTTCCACTCGACGTAACCGACGTCATGGTGCAGGCCGGTGGTGAATGGCGGCAGCGCAGGATGGATGGCCAGGATGGAGTCGTCGCTATTGTAGCTCCGGTGGCTGGGTGGTGGGCCTTGAGAGGGGCGAGTGGCGCAACGACCATCATCGAACTCCTCTACCTAGGAAGAAGGTCTCTGGTTGTGCTGCACACCTCCGCCGTGCATCCACATATCCTAATTGGCATGACGCCCTGTGGCTATAGATGGCCTAAGGCCTGGGCTCGACGGCCCGTCCCAGGCACAACACGACCCAACTGGTGTCGAGCCCGTGTTGGCCCGGGTCGATCGTTGGGATGTGCCTAGACCTCTGCCTCGTGGACCGGCTTGGCATGGCGCAATCCAATGATTAGGGAGGCAAAATAGATGAGGGAGGCCAAATAGACTTATTCGAAGGAGGAGCACGGCCCGAGTCTTATTGGGTCGTGCCTAGGCCGTTGGTGCAGTCCATGAGCGGGCATGGCACGACCCGGCATGTAGGTCGGGTCGTGCCGGCCCGACTGATCTTGGGCCCGGGCTAGGTCGTGCTCAAACTGAGCTAGCCGGCGGCTCATTTGGCCATCTATACATGCGACAGGAGAGTGAGGAATAAGGAATATAGGAAAGATGGATCCCACCGACATACGGCCTCAACATATTTCTTTTATTTTATCTTCGCTTACTGGGATTACACGTCAGCTAAAACCACCCTAGGAAGCTGCCGAAGGACTTTACAACGGTTTTTTAGATAGTTGGGGAACGCTATATACCTGATTTTGCGAATAAGGGACACCGATGAAACTCGACCCGTAGTTGAGGGAAATAAAGTGGACTTTTTCCGTGTCCATTTGATCTCGGCTCTTGGGCCTTAGCTGGGTGCTACGGTGCCAGACAATAATAATTTTGGGCTCTCTACGAACGGTCTGCACGTCACTGGAGCTTTGTGTTTGTTCTGTCCAGCATCGGCTCCATCTGGGAATCGTTGTCGAGCCCTATTCAACGACTGGGTCTCCAAGAGAGAAAATGAAGCATTTCTTATGGTTTTGTTATACGTTTGTCGATAATTATTTCATTAAAATCACACATATGTTGGTGTAATTAAAATATACTCCAGCATGCAACTGTAACTAGCATGTAGTAAATAGTAGAATATAAGTCCCACGTAAATACAGAAACATTTCTATTGCGTAACTCGGTTCTTTTATTTGTATGGGACTATATACTACCTACATTGTAATAGTTATATTATTATTATTATTATTATTATTATTATTATTATTATTATTATTATTATTATTATTATTACATTCGTATGATTTTAATGAAATGAATTGTTGATAAATTTATAGACAGTCCCAAGTATCCTCTCAAAAAAGAAAAAGGTGAACATCAACTATTTTGTTTCTTTCGATCCTGCTGTAAAAAAAAAGGTCTTCTCCCATCAAGCCGCAGATTGTAGTAGTTATCCTTTTCCACTGCCATTTTAGGTAAAAGCTGTTAAAAAGGTTACAAAAATATCATTAGACTATATATTTCTCTTTGGTCATTTTTTTAAGATCGTAAAGGGCTTTCCCATATCAAAAGCTAGCTAATGAGAGGTGAGGGGCTTTCTCATTTATATATTAAGTTATTTCTCCTTCCACAACCAATATGGAACTATTCAACAATCTTCCCTTCACATATTGGTGTCTCTCAGCCGTTCACCGCCCTTTCACCGTATCCCAACAGTCCCTCAGGTATACAGTCCCCGCAGGTGCCCACGGTCCATCAGGTCTTTACACACTTTGTCCATCGGGTCAGAGATGTTGAACTAGTGAGGCTCTAATATCAATTGTAAGATCGTAAAGAGCATTTCTCATCCCAAAAACTAATCAATAGGTGAGGGGCCCCCCACTTATATATTAGTTCCTTTGTCCTTCCACAACCAATGTGGGATTATTCAATAAATTTTAATTTATTAAATTAAATGATGCTAACTTTTTATTCATTAATGGGGAGGGATTATTTTTAAAATATATGATTATTTTGTTTTTCTTAGCATAAGGGTTTCAATTGCTTCTCTAGTATATTATTTATGTGATATTAAAGTATAATTATACGAAAGTACTTTTGATGACGAATCCCTTTGCCTGGCAAGGCGGCGGCTTCCTCAGAAAACGAGAATAACATTGATTTTGCTTCACATATGATTGAGATGTCACACCATGTTGAATTCTACATGAATTCCTCAAAACATGTGTTTGGATGTACTGCAGGAAAACACAGGAAATTAGAATTATATGTTGACATGTTAGAGAGAAAATAGAAAGAGAAAGAGAAAGAGAGAGGATGCATTGGAAGTCCCAAAGGAATTTGAAAAATGAGGTTAGACATCATGCTAAAATTCCTCAAAATGTGAAGGAACTTTCCTTTTATACGTTTTTCCTTTGAAGTAATCCTACACACCAAATGACTTATATAGATATTTTGTCATTGATTGGATTCATCTAGATTTCCTTTAATGAAAATCCCTTCAACCTAAAGGAGTCCTTACCGTTGAAAGAGCACTGTGTGTGCATAAATGTAGGTGGTTGGTGGAGTTGCGGGGTGGATTAGGGGTGAAAATTGGATAGGTATTTCCGACCACCCACCTTACTTGAGGCTTGCGGGAAGAATATGAGATAGAAAATAGGATACTCGGTACTATCCAAGTTTGAACCCGAATTTGTAAAAAAAATTGGGTTAAAATAGGAGAAGAGTTGTATCCACTCGTATGTCCCATATTATAAAATATATATGAAAATCTAATATAAATTCACCTACAAACATGATAAAAGATTGATTAATCACTATTTTACGAGTTCACATATAATATGTATATTTCTTTTCCTTGATGTATCGAGTTGGGGGTGGATTAGGGGTGAAAATTGGATGGGTATTTCCGACCACCCACCTTACCCGAGGCTTGCGGGAAGAATATGAAATAGTAAATAGGATACTCGGTACTATCCGAGTTCGAACCTGAATCTGTAAAAAAAAGGGTTAAAATAGGAGAAGAGTTGTATCCACTTGTATGTCCCATATTATAAAATATATATGAAAATCTATTATAAATTCACCTAAAACATGATAAAAGATTGATTAATCACTATTTTACTTGATGTATCTTTTTTAACATTTTAATTGCATCACTATATTTAATATCAATGAATTAGAGATACAAATAGATATCTGTTCCCGAATCCAATTTAGAGGAAATAATATAGGATAATAGCTGGGTGAGTGATATGTTATCTAACATTACTCATACCTAGTTTCGAATTTAAAGAAAAATATGGGTTATGATGCGGAAATGCCATGATCTGACCGTATCCATCTGATTTCACCCCTAGGGTGGATAAGTGAACCACGACTCTAGATCTAGCTACCACCACCACAAACTCGATGCTTATTTGATATACATGTATTTAAAAGAAATGATACTTCAAGGTGATTCACACAAAGTTATACGATTAATTAACAATGATACTATGATGTTTAACTGGTATGCCTATGACTTGTTTGGAACAAAAACACATTATTTTCACGTGAAAACAGTTCATAATGTTCAAACATGCCAAAATTAAATGCTAACTACTCTGTTGACAGTACTACCTTCAAGCATTTTCAGGACAGACGTAGCTAGGGTATGGTAGTTGGAGGAGCAGTTATATAGCCCTTGTATAAAGGCATAAAGCAAAAGGAACCTAGTTTTCTATCAAACGTGTACTAGCAACTACAACCAGCAACGCCATGGATTGTTAGTTGAGAGTCTTCCATATATATCATGTCAGTTATCCCCAGCTCCTAGGTTTTTTCTCCAGCTATGATCAATGATTCAAACGAGTACACTTTAAATTTGTCCGATCCATAGGTCTGAATATTCCATCTGCAACTTTTGGACAATCTGGACCATTCACCTAACCTGGTGCAGTAGTTCTTGCATGCTTGCGAGTACAATATATATAAACATCAAATATTATTGGAACTTAGAAATTAAGTCGACTTTTGTGTCTTGACTATCATTGAGCAGGTAATCTGAATGGGCATCCAAACATCACCATACAGGCATTTCTAGTAAGTTTTTGGACTTCTTTTTGATGAAATTTTTGGAGGATGAGATAGTTCAGGGTATATCATTCCATTCAAGATGGTCATCGAGTTTGGTATATTTAATTTGTTATAATTAATGACTACTTCATTTGTGAGGTCATCGACTAAGATCTAGAAAGCTAAGGCGTGTCTATCGAGTTGTTGATGATCAAATTAGCGATGCCGACTCATAGCTAGGTCGCCGACTTGTTCAGTGGCGTTAGTTTGTCAAGGAACAAAGACATTCTCTCTTGATTGATACTCATTCATATGCTTTTATATGTGCCGTAGTTTATCAGCGTTGTAGTCGTGCTCATCTTTCTTGTGCGTTTTAAGATGTGGAGCACTTTTTTGATAGATTTTCTCAATTATATTTGTAATCTCTTCTATTTTAATATAATCTAACCTGTTTTTGCTTTGTTTTTTTTTTCATGAAGGAAAGGAACTAGCTAATCTAGTGCAGTCGCTTCCTGTTGATTCGCATTTACTTTCTGAACCCAAGCAAAAACGTAACCAATGATATCATATCTTCATATTGTAGAATTAAGCTGCCAGATACTAGTACTTTTAACAACTAATGATAAATTAAATTCACGTCATGAGTTCCTTCTTTTTCTTCCATGGGCCAAATGGCTAGAAACTGCATTGACAATTATTTTGCTTATCACTCAGCAGTACACAAGTACACTGTACTGAAAGAAAAGAAAGAAATTAAAGAAAGACAGAAAGGACGAAGGGGAAAAGTTATCTAATCATTCATAACTTCTCAAATACACCATCCATAATGTTGAATTGCAAATCCATCACAGAGAATATGGATAATTGACACTTTTTCCACTCTTCTGTACCCCATAAAATTCTCAGCTAGCCATTAGGGAGGTTTTGTGCCTCCTTCACAGGATTTTGTTAGGTGCTTGATTTTTCCTTGAAGGACAATGCAACCAGAAACTCCTATGACTGAACAATCTGCCACTCATTTGCCTCTTCCAACCAACTCATGTATATATTGTTGAAGTGTCACTAGGAGAGGGAAAAAAAGATAAAAAGGAAAATTACAAATAAAGTTGATGAACAGGAAATATGGGACAGTCAAATTCCTGATGCCCTTTGCTCCAACCAAAAGATGAGAACAACCATTCTGACATGACCGATATAGGGGCATACCTGAACCTGATGTTCAGTATTTATAATGTCCTTTTGGGAATTATGTGATGGTTGCACCTCTTTCCAGCTCTCTCTTGGCTTAGAATCCAAGAAAAAGATAAGTTTATCAGCAATTCAGCATTACTTACTGACATATATATGAATCACCACCAACTACCCTTGTTCAGTAAGCATTGGTATGATTCAGTTGGGATAGTTGCCTAGTAGGTTGCATTTCATTCCTTTCCTTTTCTGACTCCCATTTTTCTTGTTCTTGGTTGGCCATGAATTCTAACTGCCCAAATCTTGCTTAGCTGTAGGCTACAATGCCAAAAGGAGAAAAGATGGCCTAATCTTTTTGTTTAGTGATAGGAAAAAAATGCATTTATTTCTTCGGAACAATTAGCCGCTGAAATATAATTGAACTTCTATAATACTCCCTTCGTTCCAAAATATAAAAGATTTTGGGTGGATGTGACATATCCTAGTACTACGACTTTGAACATGCTACATTCATTCAAAATCCCTTATATTTTGTGACGGAGGGAGTATAATAGGTTATACTTGCATTGGTTGCTTACTTTTTAATTGACAGCCTACTTGATATAGCTAGTTAGTACCAATCTATACTGCATCCCTGTAGCCTGTACATGTTGATTTATGCAGAGATGAAAGCTCACAGAGGTACAGATTGAGCAGGATCACTGATGATTGATGAAACAACCAACCTACCTGATCTGATACACCCATCTAAACTAAAAGAGCATTACTAATATTTGTAATAATATTTCTTCCTACATATCCACAATGACTCTCATTTGGATGTTAATTAACCAAACAATAGATCTCTCAGCCTGCCATTAGGCACTGAAAATGTTGCAGATTCATCTCCTCCTGACACATGTAGTGTGTGGCCAATACTGACAATGACTGTCAGGTAACAAATCAGCTCAAACATCTGTAATCACAATTCTGACAGTGACTAAGCAACATTTAAAGAGCTCACACATTATTAGCACTAATTAATTTTATTTATCCTAAAAAAAAGTGCAGTAATTAGCTAGCAAATCCAGCCTATATAATCCCCAGCCAAAACTGATCATATCCTCCAAGCTTGAACGCCAAGATCGAGATCGCCGGAGATGAAGGCGCCGCCGCCGCCGTCGCCGGTGGCCAAGAGGGCGCGCGTCTCGCCGTTCGTCTTCCTGCTCGTGCTCTTCCTCCTCCTCTTCTCCTTCCTCTACGGCGAAGACCTCAAGGAGCTCCTCGGCAGCCAAGCTCAAGCGCGGCCGAGCCTCCACTTCAATGCCGCCGCCGCCGGTGATGGGATCGAGCTGCCGGCCGCCACGGCGGCGACGACCGGTAATGTCACCACGCATGCATGGTGCATCTCGTCGCAGTTGATAGCTAGCTCGAATTTGTTTTGACGTGTTGTGCGATGGGAGCAGAGGGGAGGACGACGACGAGGAGGTGGCGGGGGCGGCTGCCGTTCGCGGCGAACGGCGACGGCGAGGAGGAGGAGGAGGAGTGTGACGTGTTCTCGGGGAGGTGGGTGCGCGACGAGGCGGCGCGGCCGCTGTACCGGGAGGCGGACTGCCCCTACATCCCGGCGCAGCTGGCGTGCGAGGCGCACGGGCGGCCGGAGACGGCGTACCAGCGGTGGCGGTGGCAGCCGCGCGGCTGCGCCCTCCCGGCGTTCGACGCGGCGGCGATGCTGGACAGGCTGCGCGGGAAGCGCGTGATGTTCGTCGGCGACTCGCTGGGGCGCGGGCAGTTCACGTCGCTGGTGTGCCTCCTCCTCGCCGCCGTCCCCGACCCCGCCGCGAGGTCGTTCGCCACGTCGCCCGACCAGCAGCGCTCGGTGTTCACCGCCGCGGCGTACAACGCCACCGTGGAGTTCTACTGGGCGCCGTTCCTCCTCCAGTCCAACGCCGACAACGCCGCCGTCCACCGCATCTCCGACCGCATGGTCCGCCGCGGCAGCATCGGCCACCACGGCCGCCACTGGGAGGGCGCCGACGTCATCGTCTTCAACACCTACCTCTGGTGGTGCACCGGCCTCCAGTTCCGAATCCTGTAAGCATCCCAAGAACATAATTAACCATAGCAAGCAGGCAACGACACTAATGGCGAGACACGCAGGGAGGACGGGCCGTTCGACGCCGGCGGCAACTCGTCGACGACGACGTGGGTGTCGACGGAGGAGGCGTACGCGATGGCGTTCCGGGAGATGCTGCAGTGGGCGAGGGAGCACATGGACTTCGCGACGACGCGAGTCTTCTTCACGAGCATGTCGCCGACGCACGGCAAGAGCCAGGACTGGGGCGGCGGCGAGCCGGGGGGCAACTGCTACGGCGAGACGGAGATGATCGGCGACGCCGCGTACTGGGGCTCCGACAGCCGGCGCGGGGTGATGCGGGCGATCGGCGAGGTGCTCGACGGCGATGGCGCCGACGTGCCGGTGACGTTCCTGAACGTGACGCAGCTGTCGCTGTACCGCAAGGACGCGCACACGTCGGTGTACAAGAAGCAGTGGACGCCGCCGACGCCGGAGCAGCTCGCCGACCCCAAGACCTACGCCGACTGCGTCCACTGGTGCCTCCCCGGCCTGCAGGACACGTGGAACGAGCTCCTCTACACCAAGCTCTTCTACCCTTGAAAATAATTAAAAAAACAACTAGAAGCTTCTAGAACAATCCATGTAGGAGTATTATGTAATGTATGCATGCAGGCATGCAGCTAGGCCGCGGCATCTAGCTAACATGGTTCAATATTTCGGAAAGAAAAAAAAAGGTAAAAAAATCCTTCCATGAATCTAGAGAACACCTTTGACTTCACCAACTCTCCCTTTCTTTGGTCGAAGTAAAAACATTTTAGGGGACAAAAATTTCAGAAATTTCAATCTAAAATTTTAAAATTGAACAAAATCTAACTGAGTTCGACCAAGATTGTTCTAGATTTTTTTTTAAAAAAAATCATTTTTTAAGAGGAAGAAACATCCTATAGCTAGCTATAAGAAAACATAAGAAACAAGAAGTGCACATTCTAGTAGCTCTTTTAGTGGCAAATTAAAATGTTGTGATTTGTTTTCCTTTTGTTTTGGTCAATTACCATATGTGTCAATTGCTGTGCAGCAATGTAGCCTTGATATGCTGCTAAAAAAGGAGAAAGCAGTTAGCATTTTATAGTTTTTCTAGCCTTTTTAGATGCTCTAATGAGATGGCTTACTTGATAAAACATTACAGTAAACCACACTTTGCTCCACCTAATTCACTGGTTTCTAGCTATAGCTTCTCATGACCACCAGAATAGCAGATCAGTAACAATGGCCTCTTCGTGTTGTCGTGTAGTAGATTCTTTACCCGTTCCGGTCTACCACGATTTCTATTTATACACCATTGAACCTTTAAAAATCAAATCTTATAGTTTTTTAGAGTTTAGTGATCACGTTATGTTCTTTTTTATAGTTTTTAGAAGCACTATCAAATGCCGCCACTATACTCCTTTATGGCTTGCCCGCAGCATCCCTTTTTAGTGTTACTTGGATTTGAAAAATTAAACTTGATCATATTTGGTTTCCTTTTTTAAACTCTGGAAGTCCCGCCAATCGTCGCGAACCTACTCCTTTATGGTCTACCCGCCACCGTTCCTCCTTTTAATCGTCATTAGAATTCTAAAAATTGATCCTAATCATCATTGGGGTGATGTCCCATCAACCGTCACCACCATACACCTTTGCAGCTCGTCTTGCCCCTTTTCTTTTTTTGTCATTTGTAACTATTATATTCTAGATATATGCTTTTTTAATATTCATTATTTTTTATTTTGAATTTTTTTATTTCTAAATTGTATTCCTATCTGATTTTTACTCTATATTTAAGTAATCTCATATTGTATTTTACGTGGACTCTTCTTTCATCGCTACTTATTCTTTTTATTCTGTGTAACTGCGTGGCTAATATCTATACAAAATTATATATTTTTTACACATGATTTTCTTTGAATTTCATTTTTTTTAAAGAACCACAGTAGGGGAAGCCCCCACCGTTAAGATTTTATATTAATAAAGGGGAAAAAATTACAACAAATTTAACCACTATAACAATGTATCTCTTTCAGAATTTTTGACTCTATGAACTAAAAGGGAGAGATCATTCCTAAAGAGAACTCTCCAAGAGGGAACAGAGGGAACAATGTTTTAAAAAATTAAACTATTCCTCTGCTTCCAAATATTCCAAGCAGCATAAAGCACCTTCTCAACAAAATGGGTAGAGTTATATGAATTTCTGGCCGTGACCAACATTTCACCAAAGCTTAAAGAAAGATTCCAAACTACACCAAATTGCGCCCAACATTGAGTGCTAAAAGGACACTGGAAAAATAAGTGGAGAGTTGTTTCCCTTGATCCTGTTGAACAAAGTACACAGAGCAAGGAAGCATTTTGAGGGGAGCAATGCCTTCTGTCTAACATGTCATAAGTATTTAACCGATCAATCAAGAGGAGCCAACCAAACACCTTGACTTTCATAGTACAACTGCTCTTCCAAATCCATTTAATATAAATAGGCACATGGACACGAGAAAAATTCATGGCATAAATTTTCTATGAGGAAAAAATACCGTTGCCCCAAACATATGTCCAACGATCACTCTCATCATTAAGATGCTCCAAGGTATCTGCAGATGACATTGCCAAATATTCCTGAAAAGCTTGCTCTGAAAGTGGCAAGGCAAAGAGCTGAGGTAGATCAGAAGTAGAGAACATCAGAACTGAGAGATTTGAATTCCTGGCAAAACAATATATTCTGGGATAAACCAAGGCCCTGACTTTATTGTTCCACAAATCTTCCCAAAACAAACAAGATTTTCCATCTTGCACAGTACATGCCGAGATGCCTCTAAAAATATCCACAAATTGCAAAACATCCCTCCACCAAAAAGATCCTTTAGGAGTAATAGCATGAGGAGGTTCTGCAGTGTAGTAAGTATTCCAAATCAAACTGACCCAGGGAACAGGATATCTATTATAGAACTTATGCAGATTCTTCAAGAGAAGGGCATTATTTTGCAATCTAAGGTCTATTACACCCAAACCACCTCTATCTTTCGGATGACAAACTCTTTCCCAGAGAACCAAAGACTTCTTACTAGAATTAATATCATATCCCCTCCACAGGCAATGTCTCCTAGCTCTATCAATACTTTCTATGACTGTCTTTGAAAGTGAAAGAGAGCACATGTAGTAAGTGGGAAGGGAGGAAAGAACGGCATTCACAATGGTCAATCTGTCCCCATAAGATAACAAAGCAGTGGTTGTTGAGAGTCTTCTCTCTACTCTATCAACTATAGGAGCAAAATCAATAATCTTGGTCTTGTGGTTCCAAGAGGAAGACCCAGATAAGTAAAAGGTAACTTACCAATAGAGCAACCAAACAATTTTGAGAGATGATCAACTTTTTCCAAATCTACATTCAGAGGAATCATGCATGACTTACTATAGTTAATCTTAAGGCCAGTTGAAGAGGCAAAAGTGTTCAAAATTGCCTTGAGACAGAAAAGCTCTTTTTGGGAAGCAGTCAAAAAAAGAAGAGTATCATATGCATACTGGACAATCGGAAATTCATTACTAGGTGTTGGGATTGGCATTGTAAGAACTCCCTAAGAACAAGCTTTATTGACTATAGATTGTAACAAGTCAGCTCCAAGAACAAATAATAAGGGTGAAAGTGGATCACCCTGTCTTACACCCCTTTTGCAATAGAAGGATTTGCCAGGAACACCATTTAGGATAACTGAAGAAGAGGCTGAAGAAAAAATCTGAGAAATCCAGCTTATCCATTTAGGATCAAAGCCTTTCTGCCTCATGATGTCCAATATAACTGAATGTTCAATAGTATCAAAAGCTTTCTCAAAATCCAATTTTAAAAGAACTATTTCCCTCTTAGAATGCTGGCACTGATGCAGATATTCAAAAGACCAAGCCAAACAGTCCTGAATATTTCTAGCCTTAATGAAACCATATTGGTTTTGGTGGATCAATTCAATGATGACAGATTGTAGCCTATCAGCCAGCACCTTAGTAAGAAGTTTTAGAGCCACACTCTGTAAAGAAATTGGCCCGAAGTCATTTACCTTTTCAGGAGAAGACTTCTTAGGGACTAGAGTTATAAAGGATATTAATACTCTCAACACCAGAGAACCCTAACAAAATTGAGCACAAAGATTATAGAAGTCCTGTTTAATTATAGGCCAACAGGCCTTAATGAAGCAACCATTGAATCCATCAGGCCCTGGAGATCTATCAATTGGCATTTTGTTGACAAACCTTATCATTATCGGATAAATAGGCATCTCATTCGTCTTACAAACCTTATCATTATCGGATACCCCTTACTCCTCTGCCATTCACCACCGTTGTGTCCTAAATCAAGTGTTTTTCAATACTTTTTTTATTGTTTTATCCAAATTTTTATTATTTATAAATTCATACTATTTGAACTCTAGTTTTTTTTCTTAAATCCGAATTTTTATTTCTTATGCCAGATTTTAGTTAACCTCGTATTGAGTCCTACACATTATTCATTCAATATTTATTTTTTATTTTAAATTTCAGTTATTTCTAAACTGTATTTCTACTTAATTCTCATATTTATTCTTCTAGTTTCGGAATTTATTTTATTTTTTATTATAGCTTTTAATTAATCTTGTTTGTGTTTTAAATTTTCTCTTATTTCAATAATTCTTATTTTTATTCAAATTTTAGTTATTTAAAAATTTTATTCTTAGCTGAACTATTATATTTTTTTGCTAATTTATTATTTTCTTCTATTTTTTATTTTAAATTTTTATTAATCTTGTATGTGTTCAACATGAACTATTCTTTCAATATTTCTTATTTTTTGTTACGATTTTCAGTTGTTTCTAAATTGTATTCCTACATGAACTTTTTTATTTATTAAATTCGAAATTTATTTTATTTTTTACTCCAAATTTAATTAATCTCTAAATATGTTCTACTTGGCCTCTTAATTTAATGTTTCTTACTTTTTTGTCCGAATTTTAGTTATTTATAAATTATATTACTATCTAAACTCTTATATTTCTTTTTAATGTTTCATAATTTATTTTATTTTTATTCTAAATTTTAATTAATCTCACACTGTATTCTACATGAATTATTCTTTCAATATTTCCTAATTTTTCTTCCGGATTTCAGTTATTTCTAAATAGTATTGCAACTTAAACTCTTATGGTTATTTTTAATTTCGGAATTTATTTTGTTTTTACTTCAAATTTCAATTAATCTCTAATTGTGTTGTACATGGACTCATATTTTTATATTTTTTTACTTTTTATTACAAATTTCAGTTATTTCTTTTTTGAGGAATTTCAGTTATTTCTAGATGTATTCCTATTGAGACTCTTGTTTTCTTTTTCTCTGATTAATGTGGGAATTTCTAGCCTTCAAAGCGAATGTGTTGCTCCTTGCAAAGTTGTCTTAATAATATAATAAATTATTTATTTTTGTAGTTGGAGATATCGAGAACACTAATTAGCCTAGTATACTTAGCGTTTTATTTAACTATTATAGAAAAACGAAAAAATAAATTATTTTGAAAGTTTTAAAATATGAGTAGAATTTGAAGCTGAAAGTTTGAAATTTTGAATTGAAAATTTTAAAATTTGGCTAGAGGTTTTTAAAGTTTTGAATTAATACTTTTAATTTTGAGTTCAAAGTTTTCAAGTTAGAGTTGAAAGTTTCAAATTTGAAAGTTAGTCGCACAGATCAATTTGTGTATGAGTAACTAACGTTGGACTAAGTCAACGCTTAATAGAAGCTAAAATTTAAATTTTCAACCTTAAATTTGAAGTTAATTTTAGGGTTTTTTCATCGAAGTTTATTATTCAACCTTTACTTTTAGATTGCTAAGAGCAAGTATATAAAAGTTGTATTTATGAATTATTTTTCGTTTACAAATATGTTGTTTAATTAGCTTATTCCACAAATAAGCAAAACAATGGGGCCATTACGGCCATAACTACCATCGGACTAATCGATTTCATACCGGGCGGGCCCAAGATTTTGAGATTGGGTATTCGAAATGGAAAGGGGGTAAAAAAAAATTTTACAACACGCGAGCATAATATTTGATACGTATGATCAACAATATGGTATTTTAGTACTGCTTATTGAATTAGAACTTGCGACAAGATTTTTAGCAAATTTCTTGATTTATTATGATGTACTTTGTGAAAGAACATATGCAGTACAATCTACCAACCAAGTATATATCGATTAGTATCATGCCATCACAGCACAGTTAATGTACAAATTAGGCAACCTTGTAAATTGGGTTCGAATTTGAGGGAGGCAGCCTGCTAGGCTTTCTTGTTGGGCTTCTTTTGATCAATAACGTTTATTTTCTTTATTTCTTTGCATACATACGAAATATATACCTCAGGGGGCTGCTAGCTGGCGCGTGCGCGCCAGCAGCGAGCACCTCACCTCCCTAATTATCTATAGTACTATTAGTTAACACCCACTTAACTACTAATGACTAGTAATTAGGGAAGATTCTCAAGATTTTTTTTTCTTTTTTGGGAGATTTTTGTACCAACAGATTGAAAATTTTTAAGTTAGATTTGAAAACTTTTGATTTAAGATTTAAATTTAAAAGTCAAATTTTGAAAACTTTCCACTCGGATTTGAAAACTTTCAACTCAGATTCGAAAACTTTCAACTCAGATTCGAAAACTTTCAACTTGAGATTCGAAAACTTTCATGTCCAGATTTAAAAAATTTGAAAACTTTCAACTTAGATTCGAAAACTTTCAAGCCAAGATTTGAAAAAATTGAAAACTTTCAACTTGAGATTTGAAAATTTTCAACTCAAGATTTAAAAACTTTCAAGTCCAGATTTGAAATATTTGAAAACTTTCAACTTGAGATTAGAAAATTTTCAACTCGAGATTTAAAAAGTTTCAAGTCCAAATTTTTAAATTTTAAAGTTAAGAATTAAAAATTACTAGTAAACTAATCACTAGTAAAAAAACTAATCTAAACTAATTACGTTACGTACGGTACGGTAAAAACAGCGAAAAAGAAAAAAAAAGAGAAAGAAACAGCGAAAAAAACGGTACCAGCGAGAAAGAAAAAAAAAGAGAGAATCTACCAAGCGAAGAAAAGGAGAGAGAGTTCAGAAAACCGATCGAAGTTCAAAGACGAAGGTATGCACACAGCTTAATATAATGCCTTAATTTTTCAACAGGTTTCAGTACTTCACGCGCATAATAATAATAATAATAATAATAATAATAATAATAATAATAATAATAATAATAGTAATAATAGTAATAATAATAATAATAATAATAATAATATTATTATTATTATTATTATTATTATTATTAAAGCGAATTTGATAAGAATGAACAGTAAACCAGCAAATTCCACACATCGAACAAGCAATCTAATCCTCTTGATATGTTACCAATAATTAATTTCTCAGTGTTGACATCGAACAAGCAATCTAATCCTCTCGATATGTTACCAATAATTAATTTCTCAGTCTATCAAAAAAAATAATTAGTTTCTCAGTGTTAGTGGTGAATGCGTACGTGGCAAACATCGTCAGATAAGAGGGATCATCAATCAATATCAAGGAAACCTCCGGCCAGGCGCATAACACAACACGCAAGTACGCAACATACCAATATTGAAAATTTCAAACTCAAAATCTTCCATTGCACACAAATTAAAACCAAATACAAAATCACGCACATGATAAATTAACAGTACGACTAACTAGGGGCAAATCTCTTTATTTATTTATTACTCACGCAAAACATATTGTATGGTACCTGATTAATAATTATAATAAGCATCTGTGATACATGCATATCTATCTAAGAGATTTTACGGTCCTCGAGAAGGTACGGAGGGATACCAAATTTTATATTTCCGATACTATATAAGGTACGAAGATTTGTAAAAAATACTCAAGAACTATAAAATTTCTCTATATAATTAAATTTCCTAATTAATAACCACTTGGAATTGAGCATGATGGAATCATCTCAATTAATTAACCGTCTTCTTGGTCGGTGTGCGGCCTTGTAGAGGACTGGGCATGTTGTGCAACGGGTTCGATCCGGTGGGAACCAGACGCTCCGTCACGGCCACCGTGGGCTCGTCGGCGGCGGCCGGAGGAGTCGGCGCGCCGTTGTGCACGGGGCTCGGCCCGCTGCTGGGGACATCGTGCCTCATCACAGCCGCCATCTTCTTCTCCACGGCGGCGGGACGACGAACATCTCGCGCCGCCGCGGCCGTCGTCGTCGCCACGAACACCAGCAGCACCATGGCGATGGCGGCGAAGAGGAGGAGGGAGCAGCGGCCGTGGTTGGCAGCGGCGGCGCCGGTGGCCATTGTTGACGACGTCGTCTAGCTGTGTCTGCTTGTGCGGCGGTGAAGATGCTAGCTAGCTAGCTTCGTGCAACGACGACGATGGGCGAGTGCGTCTTGGCTGCATGCGATGGAGCTGTATTTTTATAGGCATAAGTATGGAATGTGCGTTGTAATTATTGGTAGGGTAATTTTATCATCGTTATTAAGAAGGTATCAAAGGTATCATATTTTTAAATGTAAAATTTGGTATCTTAGATACGGGAGTAGTACCTCAGGTACAAAAAAATTTTGGTACCTAATTCCTTTATTGGTAAGTTTATTATCGGGTGCGACGTTGGACGTCGATCGATCGATCGATCCCCATCGTGTTATGGAATTCTAATGGCGTTTTTGTAAGGCAGAACCTTCTTTTTTTAATTTTTGGCAAAAGTATTAATTGCACCAGTTATGTAAAGGTATCTGTGTCGTATGGTAAGTACTTTATTCCGGTTAATTATATGATACCAGAGGTACTACTATATGTATACTGCGATTTTCCTTCTTTTCTGTTTGAATTTTGAAAGGTAACATCTTGATTATATTTCGTTGGCAGCTAGGATATGATAACTTATACTGTACTATGTTAATTAGATTGTGCTCGACATGGCATCTTAATATATAAAAATGGCGAACCATATATTAGTATATAGATTTATTAATTAAGAACATAATTTATTTTCTACCTATAGAAATATCCACCGCAAATATATAAGGACCATAATTTGTCTGTTCGGAAGGCCCGTATTTGGCCCAAAACCGGCATAAATTTTGGGCTCGTATATGGTATGCATGCACTCGAATAAATATACCCTGATTTCAAATATACCCTGATTTCTGCATGTTTCAACATCTCACCGCCTCTCTTGTCTCTTCTCTTGTACACTTACAAAATTTGAATCCAAGAGCTAAAATTTTGATCGATCTTATTGTGTCCATATATGCTTAAAATCCTCCTTCTCCCAAGCAATTCCTCGACGAGAGATTCTGATTCACTGGTATTAATTAGTTCCGTGAAAAATAATTATAGGTATATTTTCTTCACAAGGAAAAAAAAAAGAATTCCCAGGTCTATGCTTATATTTGCAAGTCTATCTTTCCTAAAGCAAAATCTAGGAGGACACATAGGAAGACAAAGTTTTGCTCGTTATCCATGCCAATCTGCCATCGCATTTCTGTTGTTTTTACAACAATAATTCAATAACTTTATTCATTACTATGTGCTTTTAGGAGGCACAAATACTCCATTTTGGTGACCCGCATATCTGTTGGTTTAATTTTGTCTTAATTTCATTGTTTTAATTTATGTTCCTTTTTTTTTCTCATGTCTAGCTTGTTCGGTTCTCTTCGATCAATCGATCGCGTGTTTCATCTTATTATGTCTTTCAGTTGGTGGTTCTGCTCATTTCTGGCATTCCAAGCTAGGTAGGTTCACTGCTGAATTCATTAATTAATAACGCGTGCCATTCATAACATTCAAACGAAGACGATACGAGAAGCCAATGATAAATCAAAACAACCTACGCTATATATATTCCATTATCCATGCAATCATGACAATAAACCACACTTTTTATTGAAATATCTTGATAATTAACAAAACTTGCGTACATGCTCACTTGATGCTAGCTCAAGATCGATCAGATAAACATCGAGATCTGATACGCATTGAATCATCAATCTAGCACATCAGCATGTAATGCAAAAGTACGTGCTTCAAACTAGGGTAGCCCACTCATGGAGAAGGTTGATGATTGTGTATCGGGTTCGGGCCGCTAGGAACATCATGCATGATTCTGACTCGAGACGAGCTAGGTGGATGATGGGGAGGAGGGTGGTCATTGTGTATCGGGTTCGGGCCGCTAGGAACATCATGCATGATCCCAACACGGTTGCCGCGAGAACCGGCCGCCGCCACCAGGACGTTGCCGTCGTCACCATCTGCCGTGCCGGAGAAGGAAGGCGGTGGACGCGCTGCCGCCACGGCCGCCACCGCCACGGCGAACACCAGAGCCATGAAGAGAAGGCAGCGCCGGCGCTGGGCGTGGGTGGTCGCCATGAGCTACGAATTCTTGAAGCTTTTGTTATGATAGTGGCTATATGCTTGTGAGAATGGATGATTTGCTACGGTGGAATGCCGGCCCGTTATTTATAGGCGGGCGTGGCTGTGGGAAGGCGTACTGATTATTTGCCTACACATGGTAAGATATTATATCGTTGCATCCCTGTGATTTTGTGCTCGATCGTCAGCTGTAAATGCTGAGAAATATGCATGGCACCAGATAGCAGGCCGGATATCACGACCTTATTACCATCGTTTACACCCGTATCAGATACGAGCTGATTAATTTTCCATTTATTTGGGGTATGCTGCCCCCTTGATTCTCTATAGAGATTAAAACCCCTACTACGTCAATGTCAATTCAATGTTCGTCGCAAAAATTAGAAAATAAAGTACTGCTGCATACGTTGTTTTCTCGCAAAATGTATCGGAATAGCAAAAAAAAAAAAAAAAACTGAATTAGGGTACAGAAATTATAGAAACTTTGGTACCTACTACGGACAATATCTTAACTACTTAAAAAATCGGTAACTTTCCGATCCTCATCATGTTTCCGTTCGATTTCGCGCTAATTCTTCGTCCATACGAGTGCATCATGAGGCAGATAAAGCAAAAAAAAAAAAAAACATAGATACACTACTATAAAAGTTATTTTTCTTCACGAGGCCCCATGATTTTTGCAAACGGATCATAACTAGTGGCGTCTGCAAAAATCGAGGGTCATTTTCCCATACGGCCGCTTAAGTGGCCCGTATGGAAAAATCGATTTTTCCCATACGGGCCTCTTAAGAGGGCCACATGCAAAAATGAGCTCATTTTTGCATGGGAAAAAGTATACCGAAGGTCCCTCAACTTGTCAGCGCGATACAAAAACGTCCTTAAACCCCAAAACCAGATATACATGGTCCCTTACCTATACAAAACCGGTTACCCGAGATCCTTAGTTGGTTTTGACCCAGTTTTGACCTACGTGGCGCGTGGGCCCCACATGTCAGCGTGCCACGTCAACCCCCCTCTCCCCCTCTTTTCTTCCTTTCTCCCATCTCTCTCTCTCACTCTTCTCTCGCAGGCCGGCCGGCGAAGCAGAGACGCGGAGCGGCGGTGGCGGCAGGCGGGCACGCGCGCGGCGGCTGGCGGAGGTGGTGGCCCCCTAGCAGCGGGCATGGTTGTCGTCGGCGCCCTTTCCCGACGCCGGCCGTACTGCGCAGCGCTCGCCCACGCCGCGCCGCCGCGGTGGGGCATGGTGGTGAGGTGGGAGGGAGGGAGCTGGGAGTGTTGAGGCGGAGGAGGAGGAGGTGTGGTTAGGCGCGAGCTCGCCGTCCTCCCCGCCCCCTTCGTGCCGGTGGGGCGAGGCAGGAAAAGGCGGCGGGATGGTGTGGCGACGTGGTGGCGGCGGGCTGGGCGCAGGCGGGCGACGCGACGCCCAATCCGACGCGGGCCGCGGTCGCGCAGCTCGCAGTACTGCGGCGTCAAGTTCTACCGCCGCACCGGGCGATGGGAATCGCACATATGGTAAGCCTCCTCGTCTCCTGCTCGTTCTTTCCATTTTCGAGAGCTCAACGAAGGAGGAAGGAGGAGAGAGAGGCAAGGGGAGCAAAAGAAGAGCAGCATGGACGGGTTTGGTATTGGATTCGTCTTGTTTTGGGCATTTCTCGCTTCTGCTCCTTTTACCTTTGTTTTTCTGCTCCTTTCCCAATCGCAGGACGTACGATCTAGCGGCGATCAAGTTCCGCGGCGTGGAGGGCTGGAGGCCGACATCAATTTCAGCTTGGAGGATTATGGGGGATGATCTGAAGCAGGTGAGAACAAGTTTAACGAGATCATTGTGGATGAGCAATCTGACCAAGGAGGAGTTCGTCCACGTGCTCCGGCGGTAGAGCACAGGGTTCCCCCGGGGAAGCTCCAAGTAGAGGGGCGTGAGCTGCGCCGTGGGCGCCATCGGCGTCGACGTCGCCGCGAACCTCCTCCGGACGCACGCCATGTCCTACGCCGTCGTCGTCCGCACGTCACCAACAAACGCGACGGCCACCAGAGGATGAGAGAGAGAGAGGGGAAGAGAAGGGGAAAAAGAGATGATGTGGCATCCTGACATGTGGGACCCACATGGGTCCCACGCTGACTCAGCCGCCACATAGGACAAATCCGGCGTCAATACTGCCCTGGGACTTTGGGTGACCGGTTTTGTATAGTTAAGGGACCTCGCATATCTGGTTTTGTGGTTCGAGGACGTTTTCGTATCTCGCTAACAAGTTGAGGGACCTTCGGTGTACTTTTCCTTTTTTTTTTTTGCATGCGGCTCACTTAAGCGCCCGCATGGAAAAATCGATTTTTCCATACAGGCCACTTAAGCAGCCGTATGCGAAAATAAAATTTGAAAAATTTGAAACTAGTGTATCTCACTTATATGAACTCCAAATTGGATGATTTTTTTCCTAAATGTTTCTAAAATAATGCTCTATCATGTTATTGTGTTCTTACTGGTATTATTTTAGCTATTTTTTTCTTGTGACTTTGTTTTATCAATTAAAATTTGAATTTCAAAACTTCAAATAATATTTTGAAGCAGTAAATGATTTAATCTGAAAAAGTCATCAATAACAAAGTTGTATAACTCATCAAGATTATTGGCAGTATGACATGAGGCCCTTCGACCAAACCTGCCAAAACCATGAGACCAGCGAGGATTCAAGCCTGAGACGTCCAGATTAGTCGGGGCGAAGCCCCCATGGCGAAGACTATGGAGCAAGGACGGCGAAGGAAGGAGAATCGCGTGGGTACCTCGCGAAGCCAAAGGCCTCTTGGGCGAAGGATGTAAGGCGAAGCGTGTATGCTGAAGGGAGATGACTTCACCATAGCAAGTTTGGCCTCGCTAAGGCCGATGAGGCCATCCTAGCTTCTCAAGCCCAATGGCCGTTGGGCCAGCGATCGCCTGGCGGCCCATTAGGAGTCCATATACCTTAATTACACTGTATGCCCATATAAATGTCCCTGTCGTAAGGGCAACCGTGTAAATTCCCC